TTGTTACTTATGTTTATTTTATTAAGTGACTTTTTATTTGTATTTGTATTTGTTTTTTGTTTGAAAAGATGTTTCAACACAGATTAATTAGGTTCTTATATATTGTATATAGCGTACTTAGTAAAATCCTTACACCCATGTAACTGACAAACACAGATAGCTACAGTTATGAATGTAACATAGTTATAGTAAAGTGATTATATGCTACAAGATGAGATTATTTGCAGTACTCCTACCTATATAAAATATGGAAGTTAGTGCTTCTATCTTAAAAATAATACACAATATGGAAATATGTCAAGTACAAAGTTGTAGAGAATAACTGATTTAGTACGAAAGAACACTCTATATACATGAATAGAATGAATAGAAAGCGTGAAATGCTAATTTGTTGGTATTCACAGTTCCTATCACTGTTATGTCACTAATTGTATCACAAAGCATGGGAAGTGAAACTGCACATTAGACATAGACATAATGAATTATTTCTATGAGCATCAAGAAGCTCTGTCTTGGATACAAATGCGTATTCCTAATGTCCCTATTTCTCTCAATTTGCTGCTTTGTAATTTTTTGTTTGTTTTGTATCTAGTAATCTTTCATTTCAATTCTATTGTTTTTAATATTAGTTTGTAATAATTACATTTTAAATAAACATATATTATCTAATAAATAATTGACAATTTAAGTAAATATTTATATAAATTATAATATTAGTTTTTATGTATTTGTAAGCCAAACAATTGCCATATTAAATCAGGCTATTTTACCACTACTAGTATTTAATATGGCAATCATTTGATTTATGATTAAAACATTGGGCTTCAAGTTTGTATATGTTTTATCTATTTCATTTGAACATATTTTTTTATGCTTTTAAGTAAGATAGCATTATTTTGGTTTTTTGTAGTTTAGAAGGAAATTTTTATCTAATATAATTTATTCAATTAAAATTTTATTGAATGATATTTAGATGCTTATAGATAATATGCCAAACTTTGTTAGCAACTAAAGTTGAAATAATTCAGATGCATATTTAAAAATCATTTATGCATGAAAGTATTAAGAAAAACTAAATTAATAGAAAAAATTTTATATTCACTATAAAAATATTAACATCTTACTAAACCTGATACATTGCGATAACAATATTTGGCAATTGAAGGAGTGTTATAAAAATATTAGATTACTATAGCATTTTTATATGGAAATAAATTAGTATACAGTAATAATTTATTTTATATATCTGTGTTTTAAACATATATTTAGATTTTTTTATTATTTATAATTGATAATCTGTAGGGAGGTGGAAGTGAAAATGAAGTTGTAATTGGAAAATTTGATGAAACTGATAGAATAGAACCATGTATGGATTCTTATAAACAAGAATGTGAGGAACTAGAAGAATTACCTCAGATGATAGCAGCTTCTGTGCTCCAAGATATTGTTAACAGAGTATCAGAAGGTATTTTGTTAATTTATACAGATAGTAATGAAATATAAAAATAATTTTTTACAACATGCATGCAAGCAATAGTTGAATTTTATCATGCAGGGATACCTGTAGGTATCCTTGTATAATAGGGAATTAGATTCCTGACAAATGACATGTTAAGCAAATCCTTGTTATGTGGGACTAAAAATAAGAAAAAGCAGGGTTGCATTCCAAAAGGTAACAAAAATACAACTTTAAAATAAATATTAACAGTTCTGCATATTAAGGTAATCAAAGCTATACTCTTTATTTTAAAAACGTTTTTGGCTATACTCTTATTTACTCAACTATGGTGCCAAGTTTTGTGATTCATAAATTCTAAAATACAAAACAAAGCAAAATTTCATACTTTTGGCTATCAAAACTATGGTACTTGATTACATGTTGTTTTTTTAAGATTGTTGGTACTAAGCACAAAATTTTTGCTTTTTTTAAAATGGAACACCAGGTGATTGATTATACAGTCTTTTATTTAGAAAGGAAATTTATCTCAAGTTGTTTCCCCATCATCAGTCCTGTTATATCTGATAAATTGAAACAATGAATTACATTATGGATTACAACTGTTTATTACATTACACACAAAAATGTAGTAAAGTAAATTAGCTGCAATAGTATATTTATATTGGCGACAGCTGGACTATTAAAGGGGGTAAAAATAGTAAAACTAAAAATAAATTAAGATTTAAAAAAGAATTTAAATTGAGTTTAAAACACTAATAAAATGCAATAAAAAGGTATATCTGTAATACAAATTAAAAGATTGTTGATAAAATTGGATAAATGTTGTATATAGGTAAAACTTTTTAATGAAATATTAAAAAAATATTTAAAAAAACACTAAAATATAAAGTGTAAAAACGTCACTGTATTACAGAGATATATAGATACAGTTCAAAATTAAAAGTATTTCCAAGCCATCATGTTGTCAATCACATCTGTTAAATTTCTATATATAACAACTAAATCAAGGCAGTTTTATTTGATGATAGGAATGCTATTTCAACATTCGGATGACTTAAATCTTTTGGATGGCAGAGTACATCTGACACCAATAAAACTTTTGAAGTTTAAATGTTTTTACTTGACATAATTTCCACATTTGGTATAAAACAGATGAAAAACCAAATTTTGAGTAATTCTGGGTTACCCAACTTTTTAATTTGCAGTCCAGTGTACTTGTAACTAGGGTTTCTCATTTCCCGGTCTTTTGCTTGTCCCGGGATTCCGAGATAAAAGTGAAGTGTTACCCAGGATCCCGGGAAATCTCGGGACAAAATTAATTATTTTTGAGATATACAAAATATCATGAAATCAAATGATATAATTATTTTTCATTTTTTAAAGTAATTTAATACGTTCTGTAAACTCCGAAATCATAATAATAATGATGTGTAAGATATATATTAAAAATTACCTTTGAATTACATAGAAATTGTCACAAATAGAAAAAATTTATTAAAGTTTGCTGGAAACTGCATACAACAACAACAAAAAAANATTCTAAGAACATTAAGCTTGGAAGCTGATAAAATTATTAATGAAAAATGGAAAGACACATCACATACATATACACGTAGGTGTGTATGTGAGGTTTTCTTCTTATTTTTCATTTTATTTTTTTCACACATGCTCATATATATTATTTATATATATGAGCATGTGTGTACAAATTTATTTACCTATAAAACATTCTACTTTTGCGAATTATTTTTAATTATTTAATGATAAGACTGGCAAATCTGTTTCTGGAATTATGTATAAATAATTTCAATTAAATATAAATAATTTAATTATTATTAAAATATAAAATGAAATGAATAAAGCTAAAATGAAACTAGATGCCAATTGTCAGATATTTGCCTAATTTACTACTAAAACCTTTCGAAAATTAATATACCAAAATTGATTGATAAATAAGGGAGTCTCCTACCATAGCAAAAATGCAACCAGCATCATTTAATAGTAACCACAAGTTGCTAGTCTTTATGTGAGCAGTCTTAATTTTTGCATTGCATTTGTACATAACAATCAAGTTTAAACATTGACTTGTATTCATTCTGTATAAAGCAACAAACTGGCAAAGAGAAAAACAATCAATATGTTAAAGTATTGTAAAACTTTATAAGCACTCTATGCATTTACAGAGTAATGCCAGAAAGAACAGCCTTTTTCTTGCACAATGATAACAAAAAACTATATTGTAATGAGAAGACAACAAAGATGCTAAGAATCTAAAATTACAGAGTTTTCCCATAGTCCTATCAGCATCATTAGACTTGTGACTGTTTTCAAAATAAATACATGTAGAAACTGGATCTGGATGTTAATAACCAAAACTAACAGAAAACACACCTTATTTTTTATTCAGCAAAGAAATTTCTTTGCTGGATAAAAAAAGGCGTGTTTTTTGTTCCCAACATTAAAGGCAGTGTTGAAAAGTCAAAGCTTTTCATTAGGTGTTGAAATTCAAGCTGCTATTCAAAAATAAATAAAGAAAAAACAGAAATTTCATGTGAAAATGAAAAAGTGAATTAAACACTTGAAAAAATTTGACACTGTTAATGGTGATTGTGTTGAAAAGTGAATATGTATAATTAAAATAAATGATTTTACTGTTTTGTAAAACTGGTCACATTATTCTCTCTTCCATAACTAATTTTATAGAAATGGAAACTTTATTTATCAATCAATCCTTGTATTTTGCTTTCTATAATATATGGATTAATTACTTTTTTTAAGAATATTTAATTCTATTTCTTCATAGCTCTAAATCATTATTACAAAAATGTCAATATAAAATCATAATAAAAACTTATACTGTTAAAAGACTTTACATCAGCTAAAAATTATAAAATTGAATATTAGAATAAAGTTCTAGATAACTGTCTATTTTATTATTAAACTGAGAAAAACACCATTTCAACAATATATTCTGTTATAACTTTTATTATTGTTAAAATGATTTTTTCGTGATTTAATGCAAATTAAAAATCATATATAAAATTACCAAGCAATTCAATCTTATAATTAATGATTATGATATCTTTTATCAACTGCTTTTAACTACAGATTGTAATCAGCCTTTAAAGATATCAGTTCTTGCTACAACTTTTCAAATAACTAAATTCTATCATTAATTTTTCTCTCATTTAAATTTATGTATTCAAGTATCTACCTGAAAATTAATCTTATTAAAATAAAATAATTTTAGCTAATCCATAAGAGGAAAAAATTTATATTTAAAATTTTACTATACATAGTGATCTTATAATACTAATTTCATATGAAATAAAGTAAATAATGCATTTTGCATAAATGCATAAATAAAAATTATTGCATTGTTATTATTGAAAGTGCTTTTTAAAAATAATATAACTTTGAAAGTTGTATTCTGAATATCTAATCTTTACAATTCTAATTGCAAATAAAAATAATTAATATATGTAAATTGTAAATTAATCTTTAAAATTTATAAACAATATTAAAAAACTTCAAATCATACCTTTTCCATCCACTGTTCGTTTAATTGTTGTTGTTGTGATAACAGTGCCACCAGGAGTGACACGACTATTTGTTTCAACTATTTTACCTATATTAATACCAGATACAGAATGGCCTTCTTCATCCAGAAATGAAAACTAATCCATTCAAAAATAAAAAATTTTTTTATAAAATTTAGGAAATTATTGGTTATATTCATTAAATATTTTCATATTCTAATAATATAAAATCAAATTAATTTAGTCTAAAAAAGGAAAAATACACAATAGACAATATAACATGGTGATGGAATCCAAAAATTTTTGTGTTATAAATATGGATGCTATTGTGCATAAAACACACAAAATGCATAACGATTTCAAATACTACTGGTATCCTATATTAATTGACAACTTATGCTGAAAAGAGAGTTTGTCCAAACTGAGAGTTTAAACAGCCTGTGTCTTCAAATTAATTTTCATAAAATTTGCCATATGACAAAATTCTACAATTGAAACTTTTGTAAAGACTAGTTACCAGGGAGAAGCTAAGAAATTTTACATTTACCAGCATCTTTTCCTCGATATAAAGCTCAAATATCCCCGAGTGGTTAGAATGGAAAAAAACAAAGATGTCTGTAAGATCCACCAGTTGCAATTTTAACTTTGTAATTTTAATTGGATATTTTTCTGTGTTTTTTAAACTTGATGGCTGAGCAGCCTAAAAAGAAAGGTTGGATCATCAAATGTTTGTATTCTGGAACACTAGAAGTAAATAAATTGTGGTTCCCAGTTTGGACATATTGCGTCTTCAAACTAATTTTCATAAAATTTGCCATCCAATGAAATTCTACAGTGTGTGTATATGTTGGAAAATACAAATCTGAACAAAACTTTTGCAGTTTTTAGGTGATGCTTCCTAAACACATATTGTTAAATGATTATTATATGTCAGCTCAGTGTTTCCTTTGTTTTAGAAAGTGTCTTCTCTTTTTTATTAAAAAAAAAATACTTTTAATATTAAATCAGAAAAAACTATAGAAAATGAAATTTAAAATTCTAAAATTTTAGTCTATAGAAATATCCTAGTTCATTATTAGTTATACACAATAAAAACAGTTTATTCAAATTTTGAAATTGTTTACATAATTTTAAAAATTATGCAATTTTACTTCTTCAAACAAAAACAAATGAAACAAAAGTATAAACCATTGTATAGTAAAAATTTCTTTAAGAACAAGTTTATCTTTGTCTAACAAAAAATTTTGGTATTTATTGGTTAAATTCTGTATTTTGTGTCATGTGTCACTTTCCAATTTCATGCCATGTCCATAATATTGGTCAGATTCAAAAAAGAGAACTTTTACAATATTGTTGCAATAAAGCACAATATTCAAAACATCAAAATTTAATTCAAAATTAACTAAAATGATTATGTGAACTGAGGGGGTAGAGCACTGAGCTTGTCCCCACTTATTGGCTTCTTTTCAGGGATGGTCTATGTGGTAAATGAGTAGGAGGGTTAGCGAGGTCGTGATAAGGGGTTGGTCGTACTCAAGGATGACAAATATTTAAATATAAGAATAACATATTTAATTAATTATAAAATTATACAAAGCGAACATAAAAATGAATAGAGACAAAAGTTGTAAATAGTAACAATATTTCTAAGTCGTGACAATGGTTAATCCTTTCGTGTCAATAAATCGGCTAAGTTCTAGGGCCTTTATAGGTCCTGATATCTTTTAAGTTAAGTTAACCTAAATCTAGCCTATAACTGAGAGAGAAAGTCCATAAAGAGTCTATAATACCTCTTGGTTCCGATCTCGTTGTATGGCCGTTGGTAAAAACATTCCTGGATCAGCAGAGTTGATCATTGGCAATTATGGCGAGGTGGCAATGGACAGAATGGCGGTATGGGTCTGTTGAAGTCCCCAGATGATGTCCGGCCAGAGGGCTGACTAACACTAAGTCTGATGCAATCCCATCTAAGGTTGACTTGCATCCAAGATTTGTTTATGTTAATTGTCAGAAATCAAACATTTCTTTAGATTTATTAAGTCTTTCCACCCGTTATGATTACTCATTCTACCTTATAAATTTGATAACAGCTCTGTCAAAACAACTGAATTAATTGCTGGAGGTGACTAAGGTCAGAGTTTGTCTTGCAACCTTAGTAATAATTGTTCCTTATATGGTCATAAAATTGGACGAAACTAGGAAGTGTGTGGGTTGGTTCAGTTTGGACTCCATTTGTAGGTGACCCTTTTGTTACCCTCTTTCGTGTAACAAGCATAGATTCTTATTAATTGGCTAGTTATTTTATAAATCATAATGAAGGTGGATATGAATCATCTCCGGTTGCGAGGGGAGAACTTTATCTGTGTCTGAAATGTCTTTGAAAGTCTAAAAGGGCACTTATCAAAGTGACACAGAAAATTGAAGGGTTGAAAGGTCTAATTACAACCTTCTAGAAAGGGGAAACTGGAGGAAGAAGGGAAATAATGATTGAAAAAATTGAATCTTTAAAATTCACAAAAGAGCTTGAATCCTCACAATTATAGATATTAAAACAACTTATTACAATGAAATATGTTTTGTTATGTTAAAGCATTTACTATTGCTACTTGAATGACAATTTAAAGCAGGGCCACCAACCTTTCTGATCTCATACCACTAAACTCACAATTTTGAATCCTGCAGACCACTGTCACAATTTTTTTTTTTTAAATGATACAAACATCTATAGAATAATTATCATAAAAGTTCCATTTTACTTTATTAATATGAAAATCACTTGTTTAAATATAACAAATTAGTATGAAGTTTATTGCTGCTTGTTTGAAATAAGTTTTATGGTTCTTGGCTATTTTCCATGAAGGACAATAATTGCATGCACAACATTATTTATTAATTTATTGATAACAGTCATTTTGTGTTTGTTTAAATTCATATAAAAAACCTCCAATGAGACAGAAAAACAACCAAGCATTTTGCATTTCTTTCATAATACTTTGCATAAACTTGAGTTGATCAATGTCCAAATTTTTCCACAGACCATCAATTTGCAACTGCTGATTTAAAGGATTACTAGTTACTTTCCTTCACTTAGAATAACAATTCACATTTAGAAGTTGCAAGTAAAACTTAGATGACAACAATTCCTCAAGCCTTAAAAACTCAAAACTAACCTATGATATGTGCATCCATTTATTAGTCCACACACCAAAATTGCACCTATAGAACTGTTTTGATACACTTCCAAATTGGCTTTTAACACAGTTAGTATAACTACATTTTATTACTGTTTTTGTGAAAACATTTAATATAGTATATTCCTGCAGAATACAAATAACATCATTTCATTCTTATACAAATTGAAAATAGTAAACAAATACATCATTTTCCTCAACATTATGTCTAACCTGAAATGCCAAACTGATGGACTAATTTACATATCAGCAGGTAGCAGTGGGTTAGTTGCAAAATTAATCATTTGTTAAAAATAAAATTGATTTTGATATTAAATATAAAAAAAATTATTTTTAAAATTTTAGAAACAAATAATTCTTACTTAAAGTTTTATTTGTGCACACTTTAATTACTCATTTGAAATAATGCAATTAGGCTGTGTCATTTCATAAGTAATGTAACAGCTCAACCTGACAGAGAACTACTGTGGAACCTCACTTAACAAGCATAATTTGTTCCAGAATAGTACTCGTAATACAAAACAATTTTTCCCATAAAATTAAGGTAAAATATGATAATGCATTCCATGCTGAAAAAAAATACTCAAATATTTTATGTATAATGTTTATTCAAAGAAAACTGTACAATGTGCATTGTTAAGGAGCATGAATCATCATCATCTTTTCTTCTAGCATAGAATGAACCAACGTCGAATGAGAATTCCATTTGCAGAAAACAAAAAAAAAAATCACACATAATATGTTTGATAAACACTCCAAATGATATGCCAAATTCTTGGGCTATGTAAAGGCTATAATTAAATAATAGAAATTAATTAAATTGACTTAGGTAGGCAGTTATGCTTCCATCTCATGTTAAATTTAATAATTATAAATAGTTAATTTTTAATTCAGACATTTCTAAAATTTAATTTGGAATTGGTCATTAAATTTAATATGAGATGGCAGCATAACTTCCTACCTCTAGTCAAATTAATTAATTTCTAATATTTAATTATAGCCCAAGAATTTGACATATCGTTTGGCATGTTTATTATGTAACGAGGTATGGTTGTTGATGTTTAAAAGTAATATGTGTGAACACAAGTTTGGAAAAATGTGTGATCACAAGTGACATTAAGATACTAGTGGAACGAGTGCTAAATACAGACTGATGGAGCATGCGCACAATTCAGGACTTTCCCTCTTCTCGTCACTTGTTATGCGAAACATCGCTCATTAAGCAAGGCAATTTTTTACAATTATGTAAGGTGCTCGTTAAGTGAGGTTCCACTGTATATATCTATCCCATATCCCACTTTGAGTATGACTACATTATTGTCAATAAGTCATTTCTTAGATATTTGTATATTCTACCAAAAGGGCTTCTGGTTGAAGTGGGGAGAGTTTGCACGAGAGGGCAGCTCTCCATCTGTAGAATTCCTTTTGGGTTTATTTAGGCTTTCAATAAGATGTTCAACATGCAGAAGAAAGCATTCCAGTCCAGTAGCATGTTTATGAAAGGAGCAGTGAACATAGATCCACACAATCAAGTTAAAAATAACAGAGACCATAATTCTGCAGTTATATGTTGGGACAAGCTATCACCTCCAACCGTAGCTCCTGAATGCTACTAGACACTAGAATTTTTGAAAAGCATTCTCTTTTGAATCTGACATGAATCAATATTATGGAACATGGCACATCATCGGAAAGTGACATGAGACAAAATGTAGGGGTTTAACCTATAACCGAAAGTTTTATTAGACAAGGATATTATCTTTACATAAACTTGTTCTTAAAAAAATTTTTACTATACAATGGTTTATACTTTTGTTTCATTTGTTTTTGTTTAAAGAAGTAAAATTGTATAAATTTTTAAAATTATGTAAACAATTTCAAAATTTGGATAAACTATTTTTATTGTGTATATTAAAAGTATTTTTTCTAATTAAAAAAGACACTTTCTAAAGCAAATTGGGAACACAGAGTTAATATATTATAATAATCGTTTAAAAACAATTAATATTTGAGAAAATAAATACATAATACTAACCTCAACTGTAAGTGCACCAGTAACGTCATCTTTTTCTAAAGGACGTGATTGCAATGGAATAACATGTCTATTACTGGAATTTTTTGACAACTCTTCAAGACTTACAATGCCCAAACCAAGAAAATTATCTGGAACAAAGAAAAACTTTTAACAATAAACTGAATTTGATACTTTTTTAGTTTTTTCCTAATAATTACTTGAAAAATTTTTCCATAAAATTCAAATTATTACACCAGTAAATTCAGTACAGTTTAGAAAAAGGTACACAAGTTCATGTCTTAGTACTACTTTTTTTATAAATTCTTCTTTTGAGAATGCAAAATAGAATATTTCGAAATTATAATTCAGTAATGTAGTATTCATTAATTTCTATATTTTTAAAAATCATGAATAAAGCTAACTTATAGAAATTTATTTAATGTAAAATGATAAATATACAAAGAAAAAGATCTACATAAGAATGAAATTGACATAATCCATTATCACATACAGTTTTTTTTTTTTTAATATGGCTATATGCATAAGGTGACAACTTTCTACTCCTTAAATTTGATGATTCTGAAAAATCTCATAATGTGTCTTCTCTGCAAATGCCAAATTTCAAAGTTGTATATTTTTTTACAGAACAATATCCTCAACCCTTTTCTCATAGGAAATCTTCCAAACTTTGAGAAAGCATGGACTGATGTCCAGTGAGTTCAGCTGGAAATGAATGATAGAAGAAGATTAAGAGTTTCTCAGGATCAGAAAATGATTTTTCTTCTATTTTTTGAACATGAAATAAAGCTGCAAGAAAAAAATTTTAATTGTTAAAGATCATATTAATCTCTATAAATCTCATAAAAGTCTCTATAAATAGCTAAGATACTATTTATAGAGACAAGTATTCAAGATCATAATGACATCGTGTCGTTATGTCATAAAACAAGATGATATCATGCATAGTTGACAAACATCCATGATATCATGATTCACTTTAGAAACAATTTTGAAAAGCCTCCATGACTGATGTAATTTTCAATTATTTTTCATCATTTTTCAGAAACATCAAATTTGAGGAATGGCAATTATGTATGAAAAATTAGTGAAAAATCATTACCTTATGCAATAATTCAATCACTTGGAAAAATTGTACACAAGAACATGTACAAAGCAGAAAATTTCCACAGCAGTTTTTTTGAGGGTCTGTGATAAGTGGAAACAATTTTTTCAACCTAAATTTTTCCACTGTCAGATGGACAGCATGTAGTATGAGAATATCATGAAAACTAGTGATATGGAAAAATCACAGTCACATACATCTGTGGGTTAAAATAGGAAGCTTTTGTATTTTAAATATTTCAAAATTTAAATACTTGGCAATTAATGTGTGTGAATGAATTTTAAAATTAACAACTTTTTAATAATTTTGTAACAATTGTTGACATATTAATAAAAACAAATGGATAAGGATAACAAAGTATGACACATTCAATTACAAAATTCATAAAAAGCAAATAAATATGCTACTTATTATGCTAGCCATAAAGTATTATTCAGATTATTATTAATTTGTGTGTGGAAAAAACATGAACTAAACTGAAATATAATCATTACGATTATAGATGCCAAACACATACATATTTGTTCTCCTAATTCTGAATCGCAGCATTACAATTATAAAGTTACTTTTAGTGTAATTCTTTTAGCAGCAAGTGATACACAATATAAATTTACTTTTGTGAATATAGAAAACTGTCATGGAAAAAATAATAGGAAAGATTCTCATACACTCATCTTGGTAAAATGTTAAAATGAAAACATCAGATTGACTACAACCATCACTAATAATATTATAATTGGATTGCTTGACAATGTACATTACTTTAAGGTTGGCAATCAAGCATTTCCTTTAAAACTTTAAAATAAAGTTTTAAAGGAAATGTCCTGTTACAAATTTAACATTTGAAAAAAAATTTCAATTATAGACAATTATAGTTGTGGTCATTGAATAGCTGAAAATGCTTCCTGGAACCTTGTTGCAAGATGGAAAATTTTGTTCATACTACATGGGAAAAAAAAATACTAGAAACAGCTGATGCAATTATGAAAACATGAATATGTTGCATAATTTTATTATGAAAAAAAAAAGTGTAATGAGTATGAAAAATGAAAGTATTGCCTAACAAAGTTTGTAGATGTTGAAACACATAAGGAATTGTTTATCTGGAACAATGGAGAAGTGAGATAGACAATAGTTCTTTATCATGGTCTCAACAGTCAAGTCAATATAATTATTGAAATACTGCAGCAAAGATTTGTGAAAGTTTAACTAAATTATTTTTCTAAAAATGTAATGGCAATTAAAATTTTGTGAACAAATATTCTTATGTTTGATGTGAAATAAGTTATTTCTATATATTTATGTATCTAAAATATACAGTAGAGCGTCATTTATCCAAATTAATTGGGGACTGGGATTGTTCGGATAACTTATTTTTCGGATAACCAATTATGTACGAAAAAATACATTAACCTATCCTGTGTTGAAATTTTTCTCTGCTGCGTGTCGCTTTACATTGAATTTTCGTCGACGTTAAGCCTAATGTAAACTTTTTAAAATAATAATTGTGGCTATTGTATCATTAAAAATTATTTCTTTAATTTTTACAAACAAAATAAATATATTGAAAAATATAAAAACAAAAAAAAATTTATACTTTAGAAGTTAATCTAGTATCAAAAANGTTGCTGTAGGACTACTTTATTTATTTTATTTTATTTCATGCAATAAGTAATAACCAAAAACAACTGTCAAAATTTACTATTTAGTTGCATCATATGCCAATAAATATACTCCCTAGGTCATCTCAATCTGATTGTCACCAATTAACAACATAATCATTTTTGAAAAGAAAAAAAAAAAAGAAAAAAATCATAATTTGTAAAATTTGATACATTGGTTACTTTATACCTTTCTTCTTTTTAATCTGCTATTGAAGAAGCCAAACTAGATCCACTGGAAATGTTTTTGACTTCATTGAGTCAGCTTCAGCTAAACAATTCATTCAAACTTCCAAAATATATCATGGAACATTACATTTGAATAAAAAGAATAAACTGTTTGTAAAATGTTGCTAGTTTTTAAACATTTGAAATGTACAGTTGGTGGAATTTGAATATTAAAAGCATGAAAAGTCTATAGAATGCTACAAGTTTATAAAAATATTTTAGAACAAATCTAGTTTGAATTCCTCAGGTAGCAAATTGAAAAGAAAGAAAAGCAAAATGCTTTAGAAACCTAAAATCTGATACTTTATGAACAAAATAAAAAGAATGAAAAAGTAAAATCCATCAGAAAAATGGTTATAATAGGTTAAATTAACTAAGTGATACATTTATCATTTATTCTAATTGCTTAAATTTTATAAATTTCCATATACTTTTTTATACATATGTACTATAATTTCAAGCCTATAGAGAATATGACTAATTGTTTAGACTTAAAAATAATTTTATATAGTGTAATTTCCTATTTATATCTCACAGATTATTTGTGTTTTAAAGACAATTTAAAATAAAATACATATTATATATGTTAGCGATTTTTGTGGATCATGTACCCAGTAAAAGTTACACACTCTAAGGTTTCATTTTATTTTTAAATTAAAATAAAATGAAACCTTAGAGCTGCCTACCTTCATCAGACAAAATTATACTCAATTCAGTTTTTCCCCCCACTTAATGCATGCAGAGCACAATCATTATGTCAGTGACACACTAAGATTTGTTGCAAGTTCACAAGTTGTTATTTGTTGATTTTTAACAATTTCTTCCTGAAATTTCTCTTCTCAACAGCTTTTGGATACCTCATACATTTTGTATCCTCTAATCCAAATTTCCCAAATGAAACATTCAAAACCACACTTGACACATCCTATGTTATAAGTATCTTTCCCATACAATAACAGTATTTTTTACTGTTTGTATAGCATTATATCCTTTACATATGAAAATGCAAAGGATATAATGCTAAAATGCATATCAGGCATACATAATATGCCTGATATGCATTTTATCTGCAAACATTTCAATTTGATTTTATGTAAACAAGATGGGAAGTAAAGTTTTAAAATAAGCTTCTAAACAAAGAATACAATATATTACCAGTAATGTGTTAAATTTCACAAGTATCATATCTATATTAGAAATCACCCCCCCCAGCACAAAAATAGCAAATTCACCAACATCTTATTTGCTGAGAAAAACATATCTATGTTAAGTAAAGAAAGCTGTTAAAGCCACATTAATTAAAACTTCTGCTGCCTACACAATTGCCACAATTAATTTTGCATGTTAATTCAAATCCCACATTAAGCAAGGGATACCTGTATTTCATTGCTTAAGAAAAGAATGTACCAAAAATGCAAATAAACAATAACAAAAATTTGCAGAAATTATGTGATGACAATAAACTTTTTTGTCAATGAAAAATTACTCCTGCAGACCTTATGTTGCTACAGATTACAGGCAGAAATTTAAAATATCAATTTTTATTACTTTTTTTTCATAATGATAGTTATAATTTTTTAAAATAACCTTTTTCATAAAGTTTTAATACTTATTACTATAATCTAGACATGTTAATCCTTAAATATACTTGTATATTTAAGGATTGGGCCAAAATATACTTGGGCCACAAGTACAGTATATATAATATACTTGTGGCCCAAAACTCCATGACTTCTTCCAATGTAGCCCAGAGAAACAAAAAGGTTGCACACCCCTGGTATAATACATCACCAAGAAAGAAATTAATGGTTGATATTGATATTTTCAAATCCATATTTTTAAACATGAAATTTTAAAGACAGTTTAACAAAATTCTAAGAACATTAAGCTTGGAAGCTGATAAAATTATTAATGAAAAATGGAAAGACACATCACATACATATACACGTAGGTGTGTATGTGAGGTTTTCTTCTTATTTTTCATTTTATTTTTTTCACACATGCTCATATATATTATTTATATATATGAGCATGTGTGTACAAATTTATTTACCTATAAAACATTCTACTTTTGCGAATTATTTTTAATTATTTAATGATAAGACTGGCAAATCTGTTTCTGGAATTATGTATAAATAATTTCAATTAAATATAAATAATTTAATTATTATTAAAATATAAAATGAAATGAATAAAGCTAAAATGAAACTAGATGCCAATTGTCAGATATTTGCCTAATTTACTACTAAAACCTTTCGAAAATTAATATACCAAAATTGATTGATAAATAAGGGAGTCTCCTACCATAGCAAAAATGCAACCAGCATCATTTAATAGTAACCACAAGTTGCTAGTCTTTATGTGAGCAGTCTTAATTTTTGCATTGCATTTGTACATAACAATCAAGTTTAAACATTGACTTGTATTCATTCTGTATAAAGCAACAAACTGGCAAAGAGAAAAACAATCAATATGTTAAAGTATTGTAAAACTTTATAAGCACTCTATGCATTTACAGAGTAATGCCAGAAAGAACAGCCTTTTTCTTGCACAATGATAACAAAAAACTATATTGTAATGAGAAGACAACAAAGATGCTAAGAATCTAAAATTACAGAGTTTTCCCATAGTCCTATCAGCATCATTAGACTTGTGACTGTTTTCAAAATAAATACATGTAGAAACTGGATCTGGATGTTAATAACCAAAACTAACAGAAAACACACCTTATTTTTTATTCAGCAAAGAAATTTCTTTGCTGGATAAAAAAAGGCGTGTTTTTTGTTCCCAACATTAAAGGCAGTGTTGAAAAGTCAAAGCTTTTCATTAGGTGTTGAAATTCAAGCTGCTATTCAAAAATAAATAAAGAAAAAACAGAAATTTCATGTGAAAATGAAAAAGTGAATTAAACACTTGAAAAAATTTGACACTGTTAATGGTGATTGTGTTGAAAAGTGAATATGTATAATTAAAATAAATGATTTTACTGTTTTGTAAAACTGGTCACATTATTCTCTCTTCCATAACTAATTTTATAGAAATGGAAACTTTATTTATCAATCAATCCTTGTATTTTGCTTTCTATAATATATGGATTAATTACTTTTTTTAAGAATATTTAATTCTATTTCTTCATAGCTCTAAATCATTATTACAAAAATGTCAATATAAAATCATAATAAAAACTTATACTGTTAAAAGACTTTACATCAGCTAAAAATTATAAAATTGAATATTAGAATAAAGTTCTAGATAACTGTCTATTTTATTATTAAACTGAGAAAAACACCATTTCAACAATATATTCTGTTATAACTTTTATTATTGTTAAAATGATTTTTTCGTGATTTAATGCAAATTAAAAATCATATATAAAATTACCAAGCAATTCAATCTTATAATTAATGATTATGATATCTTTTATCAACTGCTTTTAACTACAGATTGTAATCAGCCTTTAAAGATATCAGTTCTTGCTACAACTTTTCAAATAACTAAATTCTATCATTAATTTTTCTCTCATTTAAATTTATGTATTCAAGTATCTACCTGAAAATTAATCTTATTAAAATAAAATAATTTTAGCTAATCCATAAGAGGAAAAAATTTATATTTAAAATTTTACTATACATAGTGATCTTATAATACTAATTTCATATGAAATAAAGTAAATAATGCATTTTGCATAAATGCATAAATAAAAATTATTGCATTGTTATTATTGAAAGTGCTTTTTAAAAATAATATAACTTTGAAAGTTGTATTCTGAATATCTAATCTTTACAATTCTAATTGCAAATAAAAATAATTAATATATGTAAATTGTAAATTAATCTTTAAAATTTATAAACAATATTAAAAAACTTCAAATCATACCTTTTCCATCCACTGTTCGTTTAATTGTTGTTGTTGTGATAACAGTGCCACCAGGAGTGACACGACTATTTGTTTCAACTATTTTACCTATATTAATACCAGATACAGAATGGCCTTCTTCATCCAGAAATGAAAACTAATCCATTCAAAAATAAAAAATTTTTTTATAAAATTTAGGAAATTATTGGTTATATTCATTAAATATTTTCATATTCTAATAATATAAAATCAAATTAATTTAGTCTAAAAAAGGAAAAATACACAATAGACAATATAACATGGTGATGGAATCCAAAAATTTTTGTGTTATAAATATGGATGCTATTGTGCATAAAACACACAAAATGCATAACGATTTCAAATACTACTGGTATCCTATATTAATTGACAACTTATGCTGAAAAGAGAGTTTGTCCAAACTGAGAGTTTAAACAGCCTGTGTCTTCAAATTAATTTTCATAAAATTTGCCATATGACAAAATTCTACAATTGAAACTTTTGTAAAGACTAGTTACCAGGGAGAAGCTAAGAAATTTTACATTTACCAGCATCTTTTCCTCGATATAAAGCTCAAATATCCCCGAGTGGTTAGAATGGAAAAAAACAAAGATGTCTGTAAGATCCACCAGTTGCAATTTTAACTTTGTAATTTTAATTGGATATTTTTCTGTGTTTTTTAAACTTGATGGCTGAGCAGCCTAAAAAGAAAGGTTGGATCATCAAATGTTTGTATTCTGGAACACTAGAAGTAAATAAATTGTGGTTCCCAGTTTGGACATATTGCGTCTTCAAACTAATTTTCATAAAATTTGCCATCCAATGAAATTCTACAGTGTGTGTATATGTTGGAAAATACAAATCTGAACAAAACTTTTGCAGTTTTTAGGTGATGCTTCCTAAACACATATTGTTAAATGATTATTATATGTCAGCTCAGTGTTTCCTTTGTTTTAGAAAGTGTCTTCTCTTTTTTATTAAAAAAAAAATACTTTTAATATTAAATCAGAAAAAACTATAGAAAATGAAATTTAAAATTCTAAAATTTTAGTCTATAGAAATATCCTAGTTCATTATTAGTTATACACAATAAAAACAGTTTATTCAAATTTTGAAATTGTTTACATAATTTTAAAAATTATGCAATTTTACTTCTTCAAACAAAAACAAATGAAACAAAAGTATAAACCATTGTATAGTAAAAATTTCTTTAAGAACAAGTTTATCTTTGTCTAACAAAAAATTTTGGTATTTATTGGTTAAATTCTGTATTTTGTGTCATGTGTCACTTTCCAATTTCATGCCATGTCCATAATATTGGTCAGATTCAAAAAAGAGAACTTTTACAATATTGTTGCAATAAAGCACAATATTCAAAACATCAAAATTTAATTCAAAATTAACTAAAATGATTATGTGAACTGAGGGGGTAGAGCACTGAGCTTGTCCCCACTTATTGGCTTCTTTTCAGGGATGGTCTATGTGGTAAATGAGTAGGAGGGTTAGCGAGGTCGTGATAAGGGGTTGGTCGTACTCAAGGATGACAAATATTTAAATATAAGAATAACATATTTAATTAATTATAAAATTATACAAAGCGAACATAAAAATGAATAGAGACAAAAGTTGTAAATAGTAACAATATTTCTAAGTCGTGACAATGGTTAATCCTTTCGTGTCAATAAATCGGCTAAGTTCTAGGGCCTTTATAGGTCCTGATATCTTTTAAGTTAAGTTAACCTAAATCTAGCCTATAACTGAGAGAGAAAGTCCATAAAGAGTCTATAATACCTCTTGGTTCCGATCTCGTTGTATGGCCGTTGGTAAAAACATTCCTGGATCAGCAGAGTTGATCATTGGCAATTATGGCGAGGTGGCAATGGACAGAATGGCGGTATGGGTCTGTTGAAGTCCCCAGATGATGTCCGGCCAGAGGGCTGACTAACACTAAGTCTGATGCAATCCCATCTAAGGTTGACTTGCATCCAAGATTTGTTTATGTTAATTGTCAGAAATCAAACATTTCTTTAGATTTATTAAGTCTTTCCACCCGTTATGATTACTCATTCTACCTTATAAATTTGATAACAGCTCTGTCAAAACAACTGAATTAATTGCTGGAGGTGACTAAGGTCAGAGTTTGTCTTGCAACCTTAGTAATAATTGTTCCTTATATGGTCATAAAATTGGACGAAACTAGGAAGTGTGTGGGTTGGTTCAGTTTGGACTCCATTTGTAGGTGACCCTTTTGTTACCCTCTTTCGTGTAACAAGCATAGATTCTTATTAATTGGCTAGTTATTTTATAAATCATAATGAAGGTGGATATGAATCATCTCCGGTTGCGAGGGGAGAACTTTATCTGTGTCTGAAATGTCTTTGAAAGTCTAAAAGGGCACTTATCAAAGTGACACAGAAAATTGAAGGGTTGAAAGGTCTAATTACAACCTTCTAGAAAGGGGAAACTGGAGGAAGAAGGGAAATAATGATTGAAAAAATTGAATCTTTAAAATTCACAAAAGAGCTTGAATCCTCACAATTATAGATATTAAAACAACTTATTACAATGAAATATGTTTTGTTATGTTAAAGCATTTACTATTGCTACTTGAATGACAATTTAAAGCAGGGCCACCAACCTTTCTGATCTCATACCACTAAACTCACAATTTTGAATCCTGCAGACCACTGTCACAATTTTTTTTTTTTAAATGATACAAACATCTATAGAATAATTATCATAAAAGTTCCATTTTACTTTATTAATATGAAAATCACTTGTTTAAATATAACAAATTAGTATGAAGTTTATTGCTGCTTGTTTGAAATAAGTTTTATGGTTCTTGGCTATTTTCCATGAAGGACAATAATTGCATGCACAACATTATTTATTAATTTATTGATAACAGTCATTTTGTGTTTGTTTAAATTCATATAAAAAACCTCCAATGAGACAGAAAAACAACCAAGCATTTTGCATTTCTTTCATAATACTTTGCATAAACTTGAGTTGATCAATGTCCAAATTTTTCCACAGACCATCAATTTGCAACTGCTGATTTAAAGGATTACTAGTTACTTTCCTTCACTTAGAATAACAATTCACATTTAGAAGTTGCAAGTAAAACTTAGATGACAACAATTCCTCAAGCCTTAAAAACTCAAAACTAACCTATGATATGTGCATCCATTTATTAGTCCACACACCAAAATTGCACCTATAGAACTGTTTTGATACACTTCCAAATTGGCTTTTAACACAGTTAGTATAACTACATTTTATTACTGTTTTTGTGAAAACATTTAATATAGTATATTCCTGCAGAATACAAATAACATCATTTCATTCTTATACAAATTGAAAATAGTAAACAAATACATCATTTTCCTCAACATTATGTCTAACCTGAAATGCCAAACTGATGGACTAATTTACATATCAGCAGGTAGCAGTGGGTTAGTTGCAAAATTAATCATTTGTTAAAAATAAAATTGATTTTGATATTAAATATAAAAAAAATTATTTTTAAAATTTTAGAAACAAATAATTCTTACTTAAAGTTTTATTTGTGCACACTTTAATTACTCATTTGAAATAATGCAATTAGGCTGTGTCATTTCATAAGTAATGTAACAGCTCAACCTGACAGAGAACTACTGTGGAACCTCACTTAACAAGCATAATTTGTTCCAGAATAGTACTCGTAATACAAAACAATTTTTCCCATAAAATTAAGGTAAAATATGATAATGCATTCCATGCTGAAAAAAAATACTCAAATATTTTATGTATAATGTTTATTCAAAGAAAACTGTACAATGTGCATTGTTAAGGAGCATGAATCATCATCATCTTTTCTTCTAGCATAGAATGAACCAACGTCGAATGAGAATTCCATTTGCAGAAAACAAAAAAAAAAATCACACATAATATGTTTGATAAACACTCCAAATGATATGCCAAATTCTTGGGCTATGTAAAGGCTATAATTAAATAATAGAAATTAATTAAATTGACTTAGGTAGGCAGTTATGCTTCCATCTCATGTTAAATTTAATAATTATAAATAGTTAATTTTTAATTCAGACATTTCTAAAATTTAATTTGGAATTGGTCATTAAATTTAATATGAGATGGCAGCATAACTTCCTACCTCTAGTCAAATTAATTAATTTCTAATATTTAATTATAGCCCAAGAATTTGACATATCGTTTGGCATGTTTATTATGTAACGAGGTATGGTTGTTGATGTTTAAAAGTAATATGTGTGAACACAAGTTTGGAAAAATGTGTGATCACAAGTGACATTAAGATACTAGTGGAACGAGTGCTAAATACAGACTGATGGAGCATGCGCACAATTCAGGACTTTCCCTCTTCTCGTCACTTGTTATGCGAAACATCGCTCATTAAGCAAGGCAATTTTTTACAATTATGTAAGGTGCTCGTTAAGTGAGGTTCCACTGTATATATCTATCCCATATCCCACTTTGAGTATGACTACATTATTGTCAATAAGTCATTTCTTAGATATTTGTATATTCTACCAAAAGGGCTTCTGGTTGAAGTGGGGAGAGTTTGCACGAGAGGGCAGCTCTCCATCTGTAGAATTCCTTTTGGGTTTATTTAGGCTTTCAATAAGATGTTCAACATGCAGAAGAAAGCATTCCAGTCCAGTAGCATGTTTATGAAAGGAGCAGTGAACATAGATCCACACAATCAAGTTAAAAATAACAGAGACCATAATTCTGCAGTTATATGTTGGGACAAGCTATCACCTCCAACCGTAGCTCCTGAATGCTACTAGACACTAGAATTTTTGAAAAGCATTCTCTTTTGAATCTGACATGAATCAATATTATGGAACATGGCACATCATCGGAAAGTGACATGAGACAAAATGTAGGGGTTTAACCTATAACCGAAAGTTTTATTAGACAAGGATATTATCTTTACATAAACTTGTTCTTAAAAAAATTTTTACTATACAATGGTTTATACTTTTGTTTCATTTGTTTTTGTTTAAAGAAGTAAAATTGTATAAATTTTTAAAATTATGTAAACAATTTCAAAATTTGGATAAACTATTTTTATTGTGTATATTAAAAGTATTTTTTCTAATTAAAAAAGACACTTTCTAAAGCAAATTGGGAACACAGAGTTAATATATTATAATAATCGTTTAAAAACAATTAATATTTGAGAAAATAAATACATAATACTAACCTCAACTGTAAGTGCACCAGTAACGTCATCTTTTTCTAAAGGACGTGATTGCAATGGAATAACATGTCTATTACTGGAATTTTTTGACAACTCTTCAAGACTTACAATGCCCAAACCAAGAAAATTATCTGGAACAAAGAAAAACTTTTAACAATAAACTGAATTTGATACTTTTTTAGTTTTTTCCTAATAATTACTTGAAAAATTTTTCCATAAAATTCAAATTATTACACCAGTAAATTCAGTACAGTTTAGAAAAAGGTACACAAGTTCATGTCTTAGTACTACTTTTTTTATAAATTCTTCTTTTGAGAATGCAAAATAGAATATTTCGAAATTATAATTCAGTAATGTAGTATTCATTAATTTCTATATTTTTAAAAATCATGAATAAAGCTAACTTATAGAAATTTATTTAATGTAAAATGATAAATATACAAAGAAAAAGATCTACATAAGAATGAAATTGACATAATCCATTATCACATACAGTTTTTTTTTTTTTAATATGGCTATATGCATAAGGTGACAACTTTCTACTCCTTAAATTTGATGATTCTGAAAAATCTCATAATGTGTCTTCTCTGCAAATGCCAAATTTCAAAGTTGTATATTTTTTTACAGAACAATATCCTCAACCCTTTTCTCATAGGAAATCTTCCAAACTTTGAGAAAGCATGGACTGATGTCCAGTGAGTTCAGCTGGAAATGAATGATAGAAGAAGATTAAGAGTTTCTCAGGATCAGAAAATGATTTTTCTTCTATTTTTTGAACATGAAATAAAGCTGCAAGAAAAAAATTTTAATTGTTAAAGATCATATTAATCTCTATAAATCTCATAAAAGTCTCTATAAATAGCTAAGATACTATTTATAGAGACAAGTATTCAAGATCATAATGACATCGTGTCGTTATGTCATAAAACAAGATGATATCATGCATAGTTGACAAACATCCATGATATCATGATTCACTTTAGAAACAATTTTGAAAAGCCTCCATGACTGATGTAATTTTCAATTATTTTTCATCATTTTTCAGAAACATCAAATTTGAGGAATGGCAATTATGTATGAAAAATTAGTGAAAAATCATTACCTTATGCAATAATTCAATCACTTGGAAAAATTGTACACAAGAACATGTACAAAGCAGAAAATTTCCACAGCAGTTTTTTTGAGGGTCTGTGATAAGTGGAAACAATTTTTTCAACCTAAATTTTTCCACTGTCAGATGGACAGCATGTAGTATGAGAATATCATGAAAACTAGTGATATGGAAAAATCACAGTCACATACATCTGTGGGTTAAAATAGGAAGCTTTTGTATTTTAAATATTTCAAAATTTAAATACTTGGCAATTAATGTGTGTGAATGAATTTTAAAATTAACAACTTTTTAATAATTTTGTAACAATTGTTGACATATTAATAAAAACAAATGGATAAGGATAACAAAGTATGACACATTCAATTACAAAATTCATAAAAAGCAAATAAATATGCTACTTATTATGCTAGCCATAAAGTATTATTCAGATTATTATTAATTTGTGTGTGGAAAAAACATGAACTAAACTGAAATATAATCATTACGATTATAGATGCCAAACACATACATATTTGTTCTCCTAATTCTGAATCGCAGCATTACAATTATAAAGTTACTTTTAGTGTAATTCTTTTAGCAGCAAGTGATACACAATATAAATTTACTTTTGTGAATATAGAAAACTGTCATGGAAAAAATAATAGGAAAGATTCTCATACACTCATCTTGGTAAAATGTTAAAATGAAAACATCAGATTGACTACAACCATCACTAATAATATTATAATTGGATTGCTTGACAATGTACATTACTTTAAGGTTGGCAATCAAGCATTTCCTTTAAAACTTTAAAATAAAGTTTTAAAGGAAATGTCCTGTTACAAATTTAACATTTGAAAAAAAATTTCAATTATAGACAATTATAGTTGTGGTCATTGAATAGCTGAAAATGCTTCCTGGAACCTTGTTGCAAGATGGAAAATTTTGTTCATACTACATGGGAAAAAAAAATACTAGAAACAGCTGATGCAATTATGAAAACATGAATATGTTGCATAATTTTATTATGAAAAAAAAAAGTGTAATGAGTATGAAAAATGAAAGTATTGCCTAACAAAGTTTGTAGATGTTGAAACACATAAGGAATTGTTTATCTGGAACAATGGAGAAGTGAGATAGACAATAGTTCTTTATCATGGTCTCAACAGTCAAGTCAATATAATTATTGAAATACTGCAGCAAAGATTTGTGAAAGTTTAACTAAATTATTTTTCTAAAAATGTAATGGCAATTAAAATTTTGTGAACAAATATTCTTATGTTTGATGTGAAATAAGTTATTTCTATATATTTATGTATCTAAAATATACAGTAGAGCGTCATTTATCCAAATTAATTGGGGACTGGGATTGTTCGGATAACTTATTTTTCGGATAACCAATTATGTACGAAAAAATACATTAACCTATCCTGTGTTGAAATTTTTCTCTGCTGCGTGTCGCTTTACATTGAATTTTCGTCGACGTTAAGCCTAATGTAAACTTTTTAAAATAATAATTGTGGCTATTGTATCATTAAAAATTATTTCTTTAATTTTTACAAACAAAATAAATATATTGAAAAATATAAAAACAAAAAAAAATTTATACTTTAGAAGTTAATCTAATATCAAAAACATACGATTCAGCACAACACACACTCCTCAGAAAAACACCACACAAAAGTGATAGTGCTGCCAGCTAAAACACATACACAAACATAAAAAATATTGGAGTAGCCCAAGATATAGCCAAAGATTGCAGCACCACAGCACTAGAGAAAATTTAAATTTGCCAACTGGAATTCTTTTGGATAAACGACGCTCTACTGTATACACAAATTCCTAAATTAACATTAGTATTGTAAAATAAATTTTTGAAAGTTATAAAAGATAATTCTATAAATGGCTGTCAAAAGGTGATTTTTTAATTATTGTGTGCTTTTATAAATTAATTTATACAGGTATACCTCACCTTATGTCGGTAATTAGTTCCAGGAGAAGTGACTTAAGTTGAAAAAGGACGTAAGTTGAATTTACTTGTCACTAGGCTAAACCACAAATAACCATTCCCAGTTCTGTATTTTATTTATAAATGCATTTTTAATAATATATTGTTAATAAGAATCTATTTTAAGCTTACAAACAAATAAATTTTAGTTTTTAATATGTAAAGAAAAAAGTAATCTATATTTACGAATTCGTGTACTGTACGTATAGTACATACTTGTAAATGTACATGTTTACAATTTGGCGATGTTTACAGTACATCATGGACTCTATTTGTGAATGTGGTTTGCTCTAAGACATTATAAAATAAGATGATTTTGTAAGGTTAAATAACAAATAGTTATTAAAATTATCTTGCGACAGTAGAAAATAAACTAATTTATATTAAATTTACCAATATCAAGCGGAACTGACAACGAAGCCAAACAGTAAATATTGGAACTACCGTGGAAAACACCAATATCGAGTACTTAAAAACCACTAAATAAGAAGACAACACAGTCACAGATGTTTTCATGTTTCATTCCCTAGGATTTATGATTATATTAACATTTACTGTAAATGCACATATTTTAGTATGATTTTATGTGCTTTAATGCTTTTCTAGTGATATTACGACTTCAATATTTGTGGCAGACAGACGTAAAGTTGAATAAAATGATTTAAACTTAATTTTTATTTTTCCATGTTTTTTTGACAAATGACATATAATCGAGAATGATGTAACTCAAGGTATACCTGTATTAAAATCAAAATCAAATTAAAGTCATAAGTGTTCAAGAAAATAACTGATATAATTGACATTATAGATTGCATAAACAAGTTTAAGATTCATCACAGAATATACTGCAGTATTAAATGCATAACACATTGCAAAATTTAGCTCATTAAAATTTGAAAATACAAAATTGAAATAATTAAAGGCCAATAATTTCATTTCATTTTCCTCCAAATAAGTGGTAAACCTCATGAAGTACAAATAAATATTTCATAATAAAGTCATGAATGTTTCCTACATATGGAAGGCTAGTTCTATAAAATGCAAAATGCAAGCATGTAATAAACAGTGTATTAATACTTGAAAATGATGAATATATTAACAAAGAATTAACTTCATCTAAAATTAATCTTGTTCTACTCTAAAAAAAAGTAATCATATTAAAGTGTTCATGCAGGGTGCAACAAGACTGTCATCCAGAACAAACTAAGATCCCAACATCACCCTTCTTGTTCATGTTCTTGTTGAGATTTGGTACATAACAATATGTGATAAGTTAGTCCAAAGGTGTTAGTCCCTTACACACCTTCCCTCACATTGTCCTATTACCTGGCACTAATAAATTATCTTTTAAATAATTCAAATAAATTACACACCCTCTTCACTTGGTGCCCTGAGTATATGTCCTATCTGCATCCTTGCTTCAATGTATTACTTATATAACGAACTAACTGGATAAATATACTACTAATAAACACACCTTTAATAATCCAGCTAATAAAAATTAATAAAGTAAAAACGTTTTCGATCGTTTCTTAACGATTTTCTTCAGTTACCATAACATAGAATAAAATCAAACACAAAATAGAACATAAATACGAAATTAAAATATAAATAACGGAAAGTAGCTATGTTGATAAAAACCTTCCAAACAACTAAACAACCACATCCCATGCAAACCGTAGACAAAGGATAGTTTTAAATTATGTCCTGTTTTTTAGACAAATACATAAAGAAACAGCCAAGGCTAATGATTTCAGTGTAGTATATCAACGCAATCCTACAGTTTTCAAGCTATTAAGGAATGATAAGAAGCATTATGACTGAAAATCGGCATCAGGGATCTATTCCATACCATTACATGATCAGCGTTTTAATTCGGATCTTGTCTACGTAGGCGCAACAATGTGCAACTTGCATCAACGTATCAAAGAGCATAAATATACGATTAATAAGAAACTTGACAACACCATGCTATCGGCTTACGCAACACAACACGACATTCAAGTCCATTGGATTGAGTGGAAATAATTAAACCTATGACAAATTTACATACAATGAAATATCTGGAGAAATTAGAGATCTTTAAGGCACACAAGAAAACTGGTTGCATCAACCATAGAGATGTGGACTCTTTACCTACCGCACGGTGATCCTTTTACGCATGGAGAATTAATGACTTTGTTTATTTTTATTTTTGTTAAGGGACATTTTTTCGGCTTAATTTATATTTTTCGTTTATTTTATCAACACAGCTACTTTTCCGTTATTTATATTTTAATTCCGTATTTATGTTCTTTTTTGTGTTCGATTTTATTCTATGTTATGGTAACTGAAGAAGATCATTAAGAAACGATTGAAAACGTTTTTACTTTATTAATTTTTATTAGCTGGATTATTAAAGGTGTAGTGTTTTTCACTAAGTGTTTATAGTATCATCGTTATATATATTTTCTATATTCCGTATTGTCGCGCATCGGTAATTGTTGTAAATTTAATTCATAAGGTACGGATCACATCTTTAGGTGTAGTAGGCAAGCCCGTGATTGGCTCCCCTTGCTATGACGTATGTTCCCACGTCAGGACATGGCACGGGATATATAAAAAGGGAAGGACCACGGGCAAGAGGCACCTTTTTTTTGTTCTTCTGGTTGTGTCTGATCGGTGAGGAAGGAATCATGTAGGAGTACGAAGGGAAGGAAGAAGGAACCACGTGGAAGGGGGATAATTGCATACTAAGAGAGAGCCATTCAACGAGTAGCAACTATCATCTTCATGTAAGAACATTCCAAATATTTTGTTAACAAAAAAAAAAAAAAAAAAAAAAAAGATTCCTAATTGTCGCGTCGGACAGTTTATGTTATATCGTTTGTTCAGTTCTTGTGTCGGACAAAAGGGGTGGCGAAAGCCCCATTGAGAAATTGATTGTAAGTGAACCTCAGACGTACATCTTTGTGTGATTAAATCTGTTAAGTGTCTTGTTCATTCATGCTGTCTTATTTTCCTTACCCTCATCTCTGCACTAGCATATTTCGGTATGCTACAGTACTACAAAGGTGTGTTTATTAGTAGTAATTGAATGTATTATACAGGGTGTACCAGAATGACGTTTTAAAAATTTGGGGAATTGTAAAGGATAAAATTTTGAACGTTTTGATATCAGGAACCCATAGCTGGAAATGTGATTAAAGTTTCTACAGCGGTAGAAAGTGCTTGACCGCCCTTCACTTTGGTAGCTACCCTTCTGTCCATTGACGTCATGTTATTGTTCTTGACTTCTTCCTCTGAGGTTATGTAAAGTCCCTTTGTACGCAACACCTGTAGGAACAGTTCATGAACTTATGGAGTGCATCTTTACAGCATTTAATACCATCAGAAGGGAGCGTGGCATCTTACAGAGAGTCAGACGAAACATGGTTCGTCGTTGCACATTATGTAACGAAGTTGGTGGTTGTCACATTGAACATTTACTCTAAAGTAGTGCAGCCACTGATTCAATGTTCAGTTTGATTGTACTCTACTGTTTTGTCAATAAAATTTGTCAAAAATACTGTATTCTGCTGTTTCATTCAGCATACTGACTGCAAAGTGCAAAGTGCTGTAGAAACTTTATATCACATTTCCATCTATGGGTTCCTTATATCAAAATGTTCAAAATTTCATCCTCTACAATCCCCCAAATTTTTAAAACATCATTCTGATACACCCTGTATATACTTTATCAATTTACATCAATTTGGAAAATAATTTGCCATTTCTTCTAAATCTTGTCATTTGTAGGAAATCTATGATACTGGATGCAGTTCTGTTTATTCACCATGGTATTGCATAAATAGCTTAATGCTTTTATAATTTGGTATTTTAAAAATTTTCTTCAAAACATTTTGAAAACAAATTTAGGCAATTCACAACAATTTTTATTACAATAAGATAAACTAAAATTATAGTAGAGTTATCTTATATTTACCTTTTTCTTTCCCTTTATCATAAGTTTCAAATAAAACTTCAGAAGAAATGTTATTCAAATTGCTGGAAAAAAATTCTTATTGTATTTAATTAGATCTATAAAATGTTAAAATAAACATTTTAGAAAAATTAATATACAATTAGTTCAGTTAAGAACTATTTAGATTATTTTTTCTTACAATATAAAGTAACTACATAGCATAATCCAGATAAACATGCAATATATGAAAGATGTTGATATTTTATATGTTCTAGTCATAAATTACTTTAAATTTAATCCTATCTTTTGGCTTCAAGAAAAAAGAAAATTGTAAAAAGGAAACAGATTATTAATAAATACAAAGATAATGTTATTTATTTTTGCATTAATAAGCAAACAAAACTGCTTTTTGATATTTCAATTAAAAATTCAGCATTATCAAAATCCAAACTTTATATTAATGCCTATTAATATTGTAGTATTTATATTACATAATATTTCATCTTTACGTTTCATAATCTTTCATTATCAGATGCAATGAAAAGGATTATAAGATTATATTATTCTGTAAGCCTATTCAATTTGAATCCAATCAAGATTCTTGTGATTCTTCATATGTAATTGAATTCAGTATGTCATTATGGAGACAGCAACTGCTAATCAAACCAATTTGTAATGGACAAAATTAAGCTAACTATATAGCTCATAATGTACTGATATATTGTATCAAAAATTTAATCCAATTCAAGCCAAATCATTTCTCTATCATCTAAGATTAGTATACAGTAGAGCCTCGATTATCCGACCCCTGATTAACCGCCACCTCGGTTAACCGACCGTCCTAGTCGGCAAATTTCAAATGGCCGTTAGTGATGTGGCGCTACAATATTTGGCTATGTCTTGGCTACTTTAATATTATTTTTACGTTTTAGCTGGCAACACTCATTTGACCATGAAAGGGAGCCAGTATTTAAACGAGGCTTAATTTTCTAATTTTTAACGATATAATAGCAACAATTATTATTTTAAAAAATTTTTGTTAGGCTTAACATCGATGAAAATTCAATGCAAAGTAGATTAATAGCGATATACTAATATAATAATTACATGGGATATAATAATATACTACACTAATAATGGATTTTTTCATACTTTTCAGTTATCCGACTTTTCAATTATCCGACCAACCCCAGTCCCCAATTGGGTCGGATAATCAAGGCTCTACTGTACTTAAAAATAATATTTGATATTAAATAAATATTTAAAATTTATAAATTTAAAAAATCCTTAAAATTTTCTTTTTATATAATTTAAGTCATTTTAAAAATATAGGTTAAGATACCAAATGATATAGTAAAATAATCAATCTAGAAAGAAGTAAAGCCAAGTAATGAAATTGTTCTGTTCTTGAGGTATAAAAATTGCTAAGTTTTAAACAGGTAAAATTAAGGGCCTAGTTTTTATTTATTCTATAACATCAAAAAAAAAAAAAAATGTTAAGCTATGATAATTTTATGATATACATGAGAAGATATTGTAATAAAAGAATGAACATTATTGTGTTCTAATATATACAGTATTTTAAAAATAATACCTAAAACAATCAGCTGAAAAAAGTCATTTAGTTCAAAATTTTTATTTAATAAATGATTAAAGTTTCTATCTACTAATTCATTAAGGAGAAATATCCCACATAACAGAATTATAGAGAAAATTGCTTAATCAATAAAACACCATTAAACAAATATAAACATCTGTAATCCCAATAGTTATATTAAAGCCAAATGATTACTGGATTAGATCAAGCTATATTACTGCTATAAATATTAATATCAGGCTATATAATTATTAACAGTAGTAGTAATATAGCCTGATAAGAAATTGTTATAACAAAACTATAAGAACAGTTGTTGAGAAATGATTATACTAAGGTTGTTACAGAAATTTTGTGTAGGCACATGTAGGCATCATTATACAGTGGTACAACAATATACAATATAAACAATGTTTGTAAAAGTAATAAATATCTAATAGACTAATTCTGAAATTGAATAACATACAATCAAGAAACCAGACAGGTTTCAGATCAACTTACACATTTCAGGATCATATACAAACAGTAAAACTAGTAATTATAACACTAAAGAATATCAGAAACTACTTTGCATAATCTTTATAGAATATGAAGAAGCACTTCACAATGTGAAAACTTTTGACAGTTTAAATGCATAGAACATATACAAAAATTATACAAATATCAAAGAGAAAATTTACCAAAATCTCTTAGTAACCATAACATATTAAACAACATTAGAAAAATAATCAATCAAAAAGAAATAAGATAAAGTGATCAACTTGCATCAAAACTATTTACATTAGTCATACACTTAGTTTACATAAGATTAAATTAGATTAGAAAAGAAATAAAAATAAACAACAATTATTTATTCCTTCTGCAATTTGTTGTTGATACCATCCTATTTGCTACAAAGCATATGAACTATAAACTAATAAATTAAATAATACAGTAGAACGTCGTTTATCCGAATCAATTGGGGACTGGGATTGTTCGGATAACTGATTATGTACGAAAAAATATCCCATGTTGAAATTTTTCTCCGTTGCGTGTCTCTTCGCATTGAATTTTCGCCGATGTTAAGCCTAATGCAAACTTTTTAAAATAATAATTGTGGCTATTGTATCATTAAAAATTATTTCTTTATTTTTTACAAACAAAACAAATATATTGAAAAATATAAAAACAAAAAAAATTATACTTTAGAAGTTAATCTAGTATCAAAAACATACGATTCAGCACAACACACATTCCTCAGAAAAACACCACACAAAAGTGCCAGCGCTGCTAGCTAAAACACACATCAACAAAAAAAATATTGGAGCCCAAGGTATAGCCAAAGACTGCAGCGCCACAGCACTAGCAAAAATTTAAATTTGCTGATTGCAATTCTTTCGGATAAATGATGCTCTACTGTAATAATAATCCTACTGTATTTATCAAAAATTATAAAAATGATGTTTAAAAATTTTGCCAATCCAGTACCAATTAACATAAACTAAACAGAAATTGAAGAAATTCAGAACCATTGCTACTTATAGATATTGACACCAGAATGCTAAACAAATAAAGCTGCTTAAGTTAGTTTCAACAAACTAAAATACATTCTAAAAGAAAATTTACTGATAAGTACAATAAGAAAATTTATCAATCATTAATCCTTTAATCAATATATTCTGCTTTTTTAGCTTATATACAAAACTTTGATTCTGATGAAATCACTGGAAAAGAAAAATAATTTAGAGGAAAATGAAAATAATGACAACAACATTAAAAGATAAAGTAATAATGCATGGATACAATAATGAACTAAAGCAACTAATACAATTAGCAACTGATGCAATACATGCAAAAATCACTAAAAAAAATTGGGTAGAGCAGAAATTAGAAAAATTGATAACAGGTAGACAAAGACCCTTCTACCTATAAGTCATTTAAAATCAGTAAGAAAAAAGAGAGAGAATAGTGAAAAGTAAGAAAAGAGAATATGAAGTGATGATTTAATTTAAGGTAAGCATAACCAGAAAACAAAAGCTGAAGATACAGGAATGAGTAAAATAAATTGAAGTGTCTTACATCCAGCATTAGATTAATCATCATCTTCAGTTTTCATCATTGAAATTCATATTATTTGTGCCATATGCCAAATCTATAAATTTATAGAATTATTTGCATTTCACTATTTTTTTTTATAGAAATTTGTAAATTTTATAAATATCAGCTTTTTAATTTGTTGATTATGGATATGAATTTGAAAATATCTGATTCAGATCAAGTTCCAGTGTTTCAATAATATATTGTAATTGAAAGGCTTAATCTCTATTGCTTATGTTATACACTGATTTTTCTTATATTTTCTCCGTCAGCACATAAAAACAGTTAAGTTTCAAAACTGAATTCTGATTACAATAAAAATATTTTTCTTAAGCTTTATATAGAATTTAATAATTCTAATAAAATTATACAAATAATAAGATTATCCAAGATCATGTAACTGTTGCATATTTAAAAAAAACAAAAAATAAACATAGTTTGTATAAAATAGTGATAAATCTATAAAAAGTTTATCAAACAAAGAAATGTTTAACAGAAACTCAATGATAAAGTATTAAAGTGGATTAAAAAAAATTAATCAGTACATTTTTTGAAATTTTATACATAATAAAATTTCAAAAAAAATACTAATAATCTATTTTAACTAATTAATATAAATGTTTATTAAAATATGATAATATAATCTTACAATATAATTTGTTGCTCCCATACAGGACTATTAGTATTTTTGATTCCTACTGTTTCAAACTTCTGACCAGGATCATCAATTTCAACTACACAATATGGCTCAATACAACCTAATAAGAAATAAATTTTATATTTATACACTTAATATAACACATTCTTTAAAATGTAATATAAAAATATATTACAGTAATTAATTATTATTAAAGTTTAATATTAAATCTAATTATGATCATTACCTAATAAATTTTTATTTGCAATTTCATTAATATCAGCATTATTCTACAATATACTATACTTATTTTAAATAAACAGCCTGTAGGCTGTTCATTTAAAATATTGCAAACTATATTGTAAACTTCAAATCTAGATCTGTTTTATCATAATTATGTTATATTTGGTAGATTTGGCTAAATATTGTTTCTCTCTGTTAATCATGAAGAACTGGAACTTAGATAGGAGGAAAAAAAGGATAATTTACCAGTTATAGAAGAACCATTGCATATATATAAATATCAATGAGATGGAGAGAGAAGTAAAGGTAATGAAGGGTTTAAAACAGGGCTGCCCACTTTCTCCTTATCTGTTTAATATGTTCATTTGAGAGATTATACAAAAAATGAAGAGTAAGACAAAAGGTATAATGGTAAATAGTAAGAAGATAGATTCCAGAACTATTATGAATTAAAAAAAAGACTGCAGTGGATAGAGAGCATTGATTGCAGTGGCAAGGCAAAGCTTTTAGTAATAGATATAATAATAAGTATTTCTTTATTCTATTGCTTTTTTAGTATTATTATTAAAATATAACTACTTCTGAACACCAAGCATCCCAGCAAATTTATAAATTTATTTATTAAAAACATATATATTAGTAACTGATATAATTCTTACACATAATATTCAAATAATACAATTTAATTTTTATAAAATAATATATATAATATATAAACAACAACTCAATTTATTTCTATTGTGAAATGAATTGAGAAATCATATTCTATTGTGAAATCAAATAATTCAGAGGATTGTTTGATGAGACAAATAAATTGGGTTGTTGCTTATGTTATATATATGTGTCTATATACTGTATACGTAGTGAAATCTCTCTTATGGGATGCCTCTCTATGGGAGATGTATTTCCTTTGACCTGGAGAAAGTCCTATCATTTATAATATATCCCTTCCTCTGTATATGGGGTATCTCTATTCAGCATCTGAGATAGCTCCACATCATGCAAAGTAGGATACTACTCAAAAAACCAGGAGAAAACTGAACAAAATACATATACAAACATCAAAACACCTGATATATTAGTAGTATCCAAAAATAAATAAATAAATAAAAATAATTGAGGAGAAATAACCCGATTTAATACAGCAGTCATTTGGACAAAATTCTGTACAGTATTAGTAAAAAGAAGAAAAAACAAAAAACAAAAATTTTTTAAAATTAAATTTAAAAAGTTTAAATTTCTGATGATTTTTGCAATCAATTTTGGTAATTTAACTTCTGGTTCTATCTCGCAATCCTGAATCAAACAGGTGTACAGTACATTACAAATAACTGCTAAACCAACACCAAGGCTAAACTATTGAAAAGAAGAATGTCCTCCAAAGGCTAACCAAAGGAGAATTATGCAAAAGCATCACAGCAGTGTATTATATATCAGTAAGAATAAGGTGGCAATAATGTATGCATGGAAGGACAATTATAATTCAAACTGAACATAGTTACTTGTTGCATGAATGACAGTCTGGATGAGAAAGTTCTAGAATTTTTTAAAATCCCACCAAGCAAGAAACATCCCCATAAGTGGTACATTACTACAGGAGAGTACAGAGAAGATTGCAGAATATCTTAGATTGGAAGGATTCAAAAGAAGCAACAGTTGGTTACAATGTTTTGAAGAGTAACACATTACATTTAAAAGTCTGTGTGGGAACTCTGCAGATGCTGCTGACAAAGTTTCTGCAGAAGAAGAAGCTCTGCTCTCCATAACTGAAGGATGTGAATAAAAGAACATTTTCAATGTGGTGAAACAGGGTTCTTCTATTGGCATCTTCCAACAAAATCATTGATGGAAAGAGGTGAGCAATGCAAGGCAGATATAAAATAAAAGGAACATGTTAGTGTGCTGTTTGGCTGCAGTGCCAAGGGAAAAAAACTTAAGCCTTGTGTGATTGGAAATGAAATGTTGTGTACTCCTATGCCTTCATGAACAACATAAAAGTGGATCTTCTATACATGACATGGAGGAATAACCAGAAGGCATAGATGAAAATGCCAATATTCACTGAGTGGGTCCAAGAATGTAATTGCAACATGAAACAGGCTAATTGGAAGATTTTGTTGTTTATTAATAATGCCACCAATCATGCTGATGTCAAGTTGTCACACGTTTGTCTCCAATTCTTACCATCTAATTCAGCAAGTCAGATGCAGTCATTAGATAATGGCATTATTCAAATGGTCAAATTATGATACAGGAAGCAATTAATTCAAAAGATGGTTAATGTAGCAAAACAATGCAAGACAGTTGCTGAATTTGTGAAAGCCATAATTGATGCAATCTGCTGGATACATACTGCCTGTCAAGCTGTTCCTACTAAAACAATTGAAAAATGTTTTGTGCAGACAGGATTCAAACCTATACCTGACCAAGAAATAGAAGAACAAACAAATCCACTGGAACAAAAAATTGCAAAGGTGGAAAGCTCTGCAAGATGTTTTGGCAGCAACACTAGTCACAGATCCTGCAACGCTGTCATTGTTTGATGATGTACTGTATTAGAAACTCATGATAGCAGTGAAAATCATGATACCATCTTAAGATTCAGATCTGACAGGAATAACCAGAAGGCATATATTGTAAGGAACCAAGTCTGAACATTATTTTTAGTTACTTTTATTTTTGCTTATTATTTTATTTTTGTTTGGGGCTTATGTTTTGTTAGGACATAGGTTTCCTCACCATTCACCTTAGAAACTTAAAAATAGAAGAGAAATCAACTCACCAATGAGAGAAAAGCGCCGTAGGAAAAACTCGCGCACACTTGTGCTCCAGAGCGGAAAAAAGTAAGTCCACACCGAGAAAAGTGGGGAGACCCCTCAAACACAACTTAGGAAACTTGCTAAACCTTAAAAGAATAAATCATCCCGAAAACTGTCAAAAAGAATAATGTAAAAGGTTAGCGAGTATTGTCGGAAAATAGGCTGCCAGACAATCAAGAAAAAGTTATTGTTAGTGATAAGTATGTAAATGAGGGGAGTGATCACACTCAGAATTGTGATGTCACCTCATAGTATAAAGACCGAACTTCAAGTGAAGATGGACGAGGTGAGCTTCTGTTAGCAAAGAGCTTGGTGAGCTTCGTAGCAGCAAATGAAAGAGAGGTGTCCGATAGGATAAAATAGTTCCAAGGCGATTTTGAAGTTATTCGATTTGTGAATTGAAGATTAGAGAAAGTCTTGAGAGTTGAGGAAAAAGGTTCCTAGTATACTGAGGTGACGATTAGGATCTTTAATTCATAAGAATTATTGTATATAAGTTAAGTCTTTGAATTTTGTCGAATTCCAAAGGGGAATAGATTTAAGTTAGAAAATAGATTGAATTGATTTTGTTGGGTTGATTCTTATTGATTTTCATTGAATAAATTGTTATTTGATTTTTACTAAATTTTGTAAATAGTTTATTACTAGAATATTTATTAAATATTGGATTGTTTTTGACTAACTTTGTCATTATTTAATTTGGTGCACGCTTAAAGTCCAGGCCTGGCACACTAACGCAAATATGCGTAAAGTACCCGTTAGAGAACGGCTATTTCCGGCACACAGTCGTGTCGATAATCGTTGTAAAAATAATCTAGTACTTTACAATATGAAAAGTTAAGTGACATTCAGAATGATTAACATCATTCTGAATGTCATTTAGATTGTTCATATGTCACTCGGATGTATATAGTAAAGTCTCTTATTTAGAGAGGCTTTACTATATACATACATGTCACCATGGACCATACAAGTCATTCTCAATGAGACCATACAACTAAACACCAACTAAATGCCGAAATTCTATCGAGCTAGTTTAAAGCTAATTACTAAACGAATTACGTAACCAATTTGGTTCCATACAAGTCCACATGGACCACACAAGTCATTCTCAAATCAGTGTCTTGAGTAGCTAGTATGGTTATATCTAAATCAATTAATTAATTAAAAATTCTAGAAGCAAAGATGGGATGGAGATCTAAGTAGCATAACTGGAAACAATATGGATAGTAAGCAAGAGTGATGGGTTTAAGTCCCACTCCAAGCTGATTCTTTTCTTCCAGAATATTCTAAATTAAAAATTAAATTAAAGTTAACTTATTTCTAATTATTAAATTTACCATTAATTTGTATTTATTTATTTATTTACTAGCCTTAAAATAACTCAATGGATAATCCAGTGGATTATTGGCTTTAATTCTTATAAAATTAAAATTTTTAATCATTCATTCTGAGTGATGAGCACCTTTTCTGGAAGTGGATCACAAATGATCTTTATTAGCATGCAGTAGGCCACATGCATTTTTTCTTATAAAGTTGCAGGCTTTAAGCTGCTGAGTACAAACATCAGTACACTAGATACTAAAATAATATATGCTAATGATAGGCAAACTAGTAATAAACCTATACAGTTGATACTTAACTTTTCACTGGTCAAGTTTAGTTTGAATGCTCTTAACTAATGTTGCAGAATAGCACAAGGTAGAAAACAGAAAAATTAAATTACATTGACAAAGGCCTGGGGACAACATATAGGATCCATGAGTTGTAGATTGTTAATCTAAACAGAAGTGGAGAATCTGTGGCATGTAACATACTAGGTATTCAATTCCTTTTTCACCTGAGGATGGTAGCTATAAGCTATCAAAAGTACTAGCAAGTACATCTTAATTATAAACTGTGATTGTAATGCCACAACACTATAGTGTTAATTATTTTATCATATTATTTTGATTTATCACCTGATCACCCTTTTTTCAAACAGCTTTTTTACATTTATTCCAATTAAAGCATATTCATTTAATTTATTTAAATATTATTATTAGACATTTAAAACTTTCACATACATAAACATAAGCATCTTTAAAGCTAAGTATGATTACTATATGGCATGTGGACTCAAAAAGATTTGCCACCCCTGATCTATACTATTGATCATTAATATAATGCAATAAACTTCATACAAATTTACAGGAGTTTCAATTATTGTAAAAAATTATTATTATTGAATTTAAATTTTAAATATCAATTATTATTAATTTACCATTAATTAATATAAGAAAATATAAATATTAACCTTTACTTCCTCCTAAATTGCTTGCTTTAATTAATTTTAATATTAACTTTCCAGAAGTCTGTACTTTTGTTATCTAAAACCAAAAATAAATATTTTTTAATTCAGCAAAATGATATACTGTAAATTAAACGCTACATACCATACAAACAATCTTCCAGTAAATAATATGTATTTGAATCAAACTGAACGTTTTTAGTCTCTTTTAGGGGACTGCATCAAGTGTTGAACTTTACAGAATGTTATAAATTCTATTTTGGAATGTTTTTTAAATTGTTTTGTTTTTTGATGTCAACTTAATTTTAATATTTAACATTGTATGTGTTACATTTGACATTTACTGTACAAATTATTATATACAATAAAAGTTAAAGCAAATAAAATTATTATGACAAGAGGATACATGCAAGTAGTACAAAAACTTATTTATCTATAGTATAATCTTGTAATATCATTTATCTGCTTCCCTTTAGAGAGTTATCAACCAATATCTGCCTGTGGCAGATATTGGTCACAGTCTTTATTATTAATATACTTTCCATCAATTGATGTGTTAAAAATTTCCCAGGCCTCCAAGGTTCTTAGTTTTCCAAAGTTTCCAAGTTTCTCTTGTAGAGTATATATAAAATGTAACACATGCATGTTAAATATTTAAAAATGAGTTAATGTCAAAAAACAAAACAATTTTAAAAAATGTTCTAAAATAGAATCTGTAACATTCTGTAAAGTTCAACACTTGATGCAGGCCCCTAAAAGAGATTGAAAATGTTCCGTTTTGTATTTAATTCAAATACATATTATTTGCTGGAAGATTGTATGCATGATATGTAGTGTTTAATTTACCTACATTCCAGCTGTTAGACTTTTATGATATACTGTATTATGATCAAAGCCAGCTCAATTGGTGAGATGATAAGGCATCTGTCTTAAGTAAAAGGGGCAGCAAAATGACTGGTCAAAATGTTCAAAAGGAGAAGAAAATAAGTAACACTTAAAATTACAAGCTGAACTATTTACTAACAACTTTAATGTACATTTATTGTAAATGTACATTAAAGTTGTTTATAAATAGTTTCTATTGTTTGGCTTTAATATAACTATCAGGCTTACAGGCATTTATATTAGCAGCATATATCAATTTTGGCTGAAGCACAAGTTACCATTGAGCTGGTACTGGTTATAACAACTTAAATAATATAATAAAACTTTTATTATAAAAAAAAGGAAATCAAAATTAGATTTTATTTTTAAAATTAAAACTAAACTATATTTGCAAGAATTATCCATTCACTGGGCTATATTTATATTATTCAAAATAATATACTACTTTAAGGTATGTACTAGTTGGCATTACTTCAAGGAAATGTTAAACATTAAAAGTCTAACTTCTTGAAATAAGACCAAGTAAGTAATATTTATTAGAAAAAATAGAGTCAAATAGAGAAACAGCAATTAACAGCTAAATAAAAATTTCCCTTTATTCTTGATATTTATCCTTGAATAATAGTGATATAATTATGAATCTAAATTATGATACAAGGATAACCTAAAAAAGTGAACGAATGACCTAATGGAAACAATAAAAGTAATGTATTTTTGTATTTATTACAATGTAGCATTAATGGAACTGCTTATTAAATAATTTCATTAAAACTGTCTTCAAATGATGCAGTTCAACTAACTGAATTATAAAATCATATATCAATATACCAAAACAATTGCATTAACTTCTTTTATCCTTTCATTCTACATATAAAATTCTAAAATAATAAAATTTTATACACTAAAATTACATAAAGAAAATATTAGTCTAGTAGTACTTTATGTATGTAGAATAGTTTGACATTATAAATTTAACATTAAATTCAAATAGTCACTTATTAATCTATTATGAGAATTTTGTTTCCATAATACATTATAAGATTATAAGACTATTATTATTATTATTATTATGTTCAAATTGTTCAGTCTAGTAGTGGATTTATGAAAAAAAAGAATGCCAGTTCATATTTCATGAAAATGGAAAAGAGAAGACATGATTATTTCCTTTTCTGTTATTCTCTTCTTACTAGCATTCATAATTCAAAACAATAGAAGAGAAATGTGCATGAACACACAGTATTCTCAATTTAAAATATAGACACTCAGATATATTTTAAGCTGTATTTTATTTGTATGATGTTAGGTGGAGAAAAAAATACACACTTTTAATAAATTTAAGAAAAAAAAAATGAATAATGAATAATACAAGTCATTAAAAAAAAAAATAATCTTAAATTATATTTGTAAAATTTTATGCAAGTTTTATGTTAATATGAAGGAACATGACATGACCATATCACAGAAAACAAAATTAAAATTAGCATCTAAATACATTGCTAGGATTATAAAGGTGATTTTTGTGTTTCCCATTGCAATATAAGTTTCAGAAACTTTGACCATCTAAATGAGTTATTAAAAGAGAATAGATGTCTTTTAGATACAGATATGCAGACCTATCCTAAGTATATCTTGGACAGAATATTTCATTCATTTTTAACAACACAATATAGAAAACAGTAGTACAGACTACTTTATCAAATTTCCACAATTTTTAATATAAGAAAAATATTTTCAGCCCATTTTATTCCAGTTTGTTTTATATTTAAAAATGAAACATATTTTATATTCTGAATATTCTAAAATGTTCAAAATGTATGTTCCATTTTTAAAATCAAACAACAGTTTAAATTAAATTTTAAATTATATTTACAATACAAATTTAATGTTCTGTTATTAGCTACATAAAAAAGTAGCTTATATTTCTATTTCTCAATGAACCTCAAACATGTTATGCTGTTATTTCTTGCTATATGGCCAGAGAATGCATTATGAATAGAGAAGCAAAAGTGAAAAAAATGACAGAAAAAGAGTTCCCTCATAGTGACCTACACTTTAACAAATGGGATTGAAATAGTGCAAATGATTCAAAAAAGAAACCTGATAAAAAAAGTAATATAATATTAATAGTATCACCATACTCTCTATTCAGACTGAAAAAGATATAAACTTATTACACTATAAATTACATAAAACAGTCNTATAATAATAAGTATTTCTTTATTCTATTGCTTTTTTAGTATTATTATTAAAATATAACTACTTCTGAACACCAAGCATCCCAGCAAATTTATAAATTTAAAAAATCCTTAAAATTTTCTTTTTATATAATTTAAGTCATTTTAAAAATATAGGTTAAGATACCAAATGATATAGTAAAATAATCAATCTAGAAAGAAGTAAAGCCAAGTAATGAAATTGTTCTGTTCTTGAGGTATAAAAATTGCTAAGTTTTAAACAGGTAAAATTAAGGGCCTAGTTTTTATTTATTCTATAACATCAAAAAAAAAAAAAAATGTTAAGCTATGATAATTTTATGATATACATGAGAAGATATTGTAATAAAAGAATGAACATTATTGTGTTCTAATATATACAGTATTTTAAAAATAATACCTAAAACAATCAGCTGAAAAAAGTCATTTAGTTCAAAATTTTTATTTAATAAATGATTAAAGTTTCTATCTACTAATTCATTAAGGAGAAATATCCCACATAACAGAATTATAGAGAAAATTGCTTAATCAATAAAACACCATTAAACAAATATAAACATCTGTAATCCCAATAGTTATATTAAAGCCAAATGATTACTGGATTAGATCAAGCTATATTACTGCTATAAATATTAATATCAGGCTATATAATTATTAACAGTAGTAGTAATATAGCCTGATAAGAAATTGTTATAACAAAACTATAAGAACAGTTGTTGAGAAATGATTATACTAAGGTTGTTACAGAAATTTTGTGTAGGCACATGTAGGCATCATTATACAGTGGTACAACAATATACAATATAAACAATGTTTGTAAAAGTAATAAATATCTAATAGACTAATTCTGAAATTGAATAACATACAATCAAGAAACCAGACAGGTTTCAGATCAACTTACACATTTCAGGATCATATACAAACAGTAAAACTAGTAATTATAACACTAAAGAATATCAGAAACTACTTTGCATAATCTTTATAGAATATGAAGAAGCACTTCACAATGTGAAAACTTTTGACAGTTTAAATGCATAGAACATATACAAAAATTATACAAATATCAAAGAGAAAATTTACCAAAATCTCTTAGTAACCATAACATATTAAACAACATTAGAAAAATAATCAATCAAAAAGAAATAAGATAAAGTGATCAACTTGCATCAAAACTATTTACATTAGTCATACACTTAGTTTACATAAGATTAAATTAGATTAGAAAAGAAATAAAAATAAACAACAATTATTTATTCCTTCTGCAATTTGTTGTTGATACCATCCTATTTGCTACAAAGCATATGAACTATAAACTAATAAATTAAATAATACAGTAGAACGTCGTTTATCCGAATCAATTGGGGACTGGGATTGTTCGGATAACTGATTATGTACGAAAAAATATCCCATGTTGAAATTTTTCTCCGTTGCGTGTCTCTTCGCATTGAATTTTCGCCGATGTTAAGCCTAATGCAAACTTTTTAAAATAATAATTGTGGCTATTGTATCATTAAAAATTATTTCTTTATTTTTTACAAACAAAACAAATATATTGAAAAATATAAAAACAAAAAAAATTATACTTTAGAAGTTAATCTAGTATCAAAAACGTTCGATTCAGCACAACACACATTCCTCAGAAAAACACCACACAAAAGTGCCAGCGCTGCTAGCTAAAACACACATCAACAAAAAAAATATTGGAGCCCAAGGTATAGCCAAAGACTGCAGCGCCACAGCACTAGCAAAAATTTAAATTTGCTGATTGCAATTCTTTCGGATAAATGATGCTCTACTGTAATAATAATCCTACTGTATTTATCAAAAATTATAAAAATGATGTTTAAAAATTTTGCCAATCCAGTACCAATTAACATAAACTAAACAGAAATTGAAGAAATTCAGAACCATTGCTACTTATAGATATTGACACCAGAATGCTAAACAAATAAAGCTGCTTAAGTTAGTTTCAACAAACTAAAATACATTCTAAAAGAAAATTTACTGATAAGTACAATAAGAAAATTTATCAATCATTAATCCTTTAATCAATATATTCTGCTTTTTTAGCTTATATACAAAACTTTGATTCTGATGAAATCACTGGAAAAGAAAAATAATTTAGAGGAAAATGAAAATAATGACAACAACATTAAAAGATAAAGTAATAATGCATGGATACAATAATGAACTAAAGCAACTAATACAATTAGCAACTGATGCAATACATGCAAAAATCACTAAAAAAAATTGGGTAGAGCAGAAATTAGAAAAATTGATAACAGGTAGACAAAGACCCTTCTACCTATAAGTCATTTAAAATCAGTAAGAAAAAAGAGAGAGAATAGTGAAAAGTAAGAAAAGAGAATATGAAGTGATGATTTAATTTAAGGTAAGCATAACCAGAAAACAAAAGCTGAAGATACAGGAATGAGTAAAATAAATTGAAGTGTCTTACATCCAGCATTAGATTAATCATCATCTTCAGTTTTCATCATTGAAATTCATATTATTTGTGCCATATGCCAAATCTATAAATTTATAGAATTATTTGCATTTCACTATTTTTTTTTATAGAAATTTGTAAATTTTATAAATATCAGCTTTTTAATTTGTTGATTATGGATATGAATTTGAAAATATCTGATTCAGATCAAGTTCCAGTGTTTCAATAATATATTGTAATTGAAAGGCTTAATCTCTATTGCTTATGTTATACACTGATTTTTCTTATATTTTCTCCGTCAGCACATAAAAACAGTTAAGTTTCAAAACTGAATTCTGATTACAATAAAAATATTTTTCTTAAGCTTTATATAGAATTTAATAATTCTAATAAAATTATACAAATAATAAGATTATCCAAGATCATGTAACTGTTGCATATTTAAAAAAAACAAAAAATAAACATAGTTTGTATAAAATAGTGATAAATCTATAAAAAGTTTATCAAACAAAGAAATGTTTAACAGAAACTCAATGATAAAGTATTAAAGTGGATTAAAAAAAATTAATCAGTACATTTTTTGAAATTTTATACATAATAAAATTTCAAAAAAAATACTAATAATCTATTTTAACTAATTAATATAAATGTTTATTAAAATATGATAATATAATCTTACAATATAATTTGTTGCTCCCATACAGGACTATTAGTATTTTTGATTCCTACTGTTTCAAACTTCTGACCAGGATCATCAATTTCAACTACACAATATGGCTCAATACAACCTAATAAGAAATAAATTTTATATTTATACACTTAATATAACACATTCTTTAAAATGTAATATAAAAATATATTACAGTAATTAATTATTATTAAAGTTTAATATTAAATCTAATTATGATCATTACCTAATAAATTTTTATTTGCAATTTCATTAATATCAGCATTATTCTACAATATACTATACTTATTTTAAATAAACAGCCTGTAGGCTGTTCATTTAAAATATTGCAAACTATATTGTAAACTTCAAATCTAGATCTGTTTTATCATAATTATGTTATATTTGGTAGATTTGGCTAAATATTGTTTCTCTCTGTTAATCATGAAGAACTGGAACTTAGATAGGAGGAAAAAAAGGATAATTTACCAGTTATAGAAGAACCATTGCATATATATAAATATCAATGAGATGGAGAGAGAAGTAAAGGTAATGAAGGGTTTAAAACAGGGCTGCCCACTTTCTCCTTATCTGTTTAATATGTTCATTTGAGAGATTATACAAAAAATGAAGAGTAAGACAAAAGGTATAATGGTAAATAGTAAGAAGATAGATTCCAGAACTATTATGAATTAAAAAAAAGACTGCAGTGGATAGAGAGCATTGATTGCAGTGGCAAGGCAAAGCTTTTAGTAATAGATATAATAATAAGTATTTCTTTATTCTATTGCTTTTTTAGTATTATTATTAAAATATAACTACTTCTGAACACCAAGCATCCCAGCAAATTTATAAATTTATTTATTAAAAACATATATATTAGTAACTGATATAATTCTTACACATAATATTCAAATAATACAATTTAATTTTTATAAAATAATATATATAATATATAAACAACAACTCAATTTATTTCTATTGTGAAATGAATTGAGAAATCATATTCTATTGTGAAATCAAATAATTCAGAGGATTGTTTGATGAGACAAATAAATTGGGTTGTTGCTTATGTTATATATATGTGTCTATATACTGTATACGTAGTGAAATCTCTCTTATGGGATGCCTCTCTATGGGAGATGTATTTCCTTTGACCTGGAGAAAGTCCTATCATTTATAATATATCCCTTCCTCTGTATATGGGGTATCTCTATTCAGCATCTGAGATAGCTCCACATCATGCAAAGTAGGATACTACTCAAAAAACCAGGAGAAAACTGAACAAAATACATATACAAACATCAAAACACCTGATATATTAGTAGTATCCAAAAATNAAATAAAAATTATTAATTCACACACAAATCTTTGAATGTATAACAATCAAATGAAATAAAATGCACACACAGTAATAAGTTCTCAACTTATTTGGTCAATTTGTTCCAAAGAATTCTGGATAAGTCACATGGTACTTAAATGACATATTTTTAGCATACATCATACATATTCACTTCAAAGGATAATTAAAATTACCGTACAGTATTTTGATGAGTATAAGTCGCTGTCAAGTATAAGACGCACTCCTATTTTGAGACAAAAAATTTAGAAAAAATTTTTTTAATGGGATTGTCTAAAGATGCATTTTATTAATCATAGTGGCCAAGAAATTCTTCAAATGAATCACTGCTATCTACTGGTAAATTATACCCATTAGGAAATAACTATGACGTCATTAATGACTGATTCATCATCCCTTTCTTCTTGAATTCCCAAAGTATTGACTAAATATTCATCATCAGAATCTTCATAGATTGCCTCATCTTCTGTACCACCCAGAGCATTAGATATTCCAGTTTTCTTGAATGACTTAATAATGATTTCCATTTTAATACCTTCCCAAGCACACAGCACCCAATTGCAAACTTGTGCAATGCTGGCTCATTTTATTCTCCTTGTTGGTGTTAAACTTTTATTTGCAACAGTCATCATCCACTTGTTCCACTCATCACAAATTATTTCAGTTTAATAAAGGTATCAATTCATCCATCCGTCATATTCTTGAATAAAAAAACAAATAAAATGCTTTATTAAACTGAAATAATCGTAATTTCTTAATGTAAACTCAGAGGTCATGTGATGACAGTCGACAGAACATGGCAGTGATGACTTGTGTATCACTGCTCTGATAATCTAGGTACTCTAGCCATTCAGTTGAGGGGCCATCTGCTTAATGCACCACTGCACAGGTTGGTCCCTAGAGTGGATCACTACTATAGATACTTTCACTGTAAAAATGGTTACCTGTCGAGTATAAAACGCACCATGATTTTGAGCCCCTAAAAGTAGTAAAAAAAGTGTGACTTATACTCATCAAAATACAGTAAACACCTTTTGATTATACTTTTACATTTAAGCTTTGCTACTTTTAAATTTAAGGGTCATAACAGGTATCTATAAATATGCATAAGTTGAAGGAAGACTCACTGCATTTTTCTTCTAGTAACATGGTTTTACTTTAACTTTGAAAAAGTCATTAGCCCATATGAATAAAAATGAATAAAATGATAATAAGCAAAAGCATCTCCTCTGTTTGGTATGAATAATGATTACCTTATATTTCCAAGCAAATGCTTTTGGTAAACGAGTAAAAGGTTCTCAATGTGCAGGTTATGACATTTATTCTCCTCCCTATGTTCTATTTTATTAGCTGTATTCAATTCATAGTAATCATATGCATGTTGGCCTTTGTTAATAAGTGTAGATATCCAAATTTTGCAATTTATTAAACAGAAATGATGGAAAATAATGATATGAAGTTTGCAATAGAATGTGAACTAAAGTTTATTTTAGATGAGTTGACCTCATATCCAGGAGTTTTATCTAAATCCCAACACCTAACATAAAAAAGAAACAGATAAAGTCATCAAAAATGTATTAATCAAATATGAAGCAATACTTGGAAAACAAATTAATGGAACAAAATTAATGAAGAAAATTAACAATACAAAACACCAAGTTCTTCTCCTATATCTTTTTGGAATTAAGGATCAGCTAAGTATCTTAAACATATTTTCATTTTTTGTATATAAGTTAGCACACCACCACATGATTCAGTCATCACCCCTAAATAATTTTGTGCCAACCATTCAGCACTTTCTTTTTCAAATCTAAATAATGCCATAAAATCACTGACTTGTGGAGTAGAATGAAGTTTATAATATTTAACCTTCCTTAGATTAATTACTTCAGTCATGGTTAAACACTAACAGAAAATAAACCTAAATAAAAGCAACAGCAAACCACACTTCTTACCCCCATATTCACCAACGTGAGTTAAACAGAGTTGACGAACTCCAGTTTAGATGTAACTCAAAGTCAGATTACGAGTTACTCTTCTTTCGTATTCAGATAAAAATATAACTCTAGAGTTAATGTTTTAAAACAATCCTACATTCGAGATTAAACAAGTCTTCTTTCATAAGCAGAGTTGTGATTGGTTGAAAGCAAACACATGTAGAAAATGGTGGAAAGTGAAATGGAAAATAGTGCACACTGTAATTTTACTAATTTTGAGAAGGAAATTCTACTCGAATTAGTCGAAAAGTATAAATCTATAATTGAAAATAAAATTTTTTGATGATGTAGAAACTAAACTGTGACCAATTCGTTCTAGTATGTTTCTTATGCTCTCGTTTGGCAAACAATATCAACATAGAAAGTCATAATCATCCAATTGTTCAAGGTCATTTCTTCTTGGAGAAATAATCCGCCAACTTCTTCGTTCCATACAATCTATATAATCTAAATATTTCAGATTTTTTAGCATCTCGGCTTCATCCTCATCGAATGTCACCATTTTTTCCCGAAATAGATTGCTTTGTGCAGGTGTCAAACCCAGAGTTATCGTCTACTCGCCAATTTTCTAGAGTTAGAGTTATTATGTTTGACTCAAGATTCAGAATTGGTGAATACCAATTTACCAATAACTCGAGAGTTAACCCTAACTCTAACTCGCGATGGTGAATATGGTGAATATGGGGGTTACAGTTGAGTCTATATCTGACTAGATGCATGTATTTTGAAGGATATGCTTATAATTCAAAGTAAATGCTTACTCTTATTCATATAGAATATTTATTACCAAAGCAAAAGCTTCATTCAAATGCATTTGCTTCATGCTCAATTTTATTCATATGACTAAAAGGATTTCCTTCAAATTTTACAAGAATATGATAATAATATGATAATACTAGTTTTTATTCATAGGCTCATCAGTATTGGATTCTCTTTTAGTTGGAGTTTATATCATTTAATATATTTTTAAATATGCATATATATATATATATATATTTACAAGAAACAAAAAAAAAACAACTTCAGTCTGTATTAAAATTAAATTCTGAATTATGTGTTAAAAATTTCAGATAGATTTTATAACATTACTTACATTATCTTGGGGTGAAACATTTATTTTAAAACCTGGGTGCTCTGAAAATCTTGCGATGAACAAAAGTTCTTCAACCATGGCATCAAGTTTTAACTAAAAATATAACTTAAAATTTTTATTTCTTATTATATTATTTAATTTTATTTTTATATTAAATACAATTGACTTTTTTACAATAATATTTATTCAATATCACTATGAATCCAATAAACCAATCACAATATAAACCAATAATATATTGGTTTATATTGTGATAAAAAACAAATTGAAGCCAATTGAATTTCTATTAGTGATCTAAGGAAATATTTAAACTAACACAGTTCTTATTTTTTTTTATGTCTATCATTCAATCTCTGCCTGAGGAATGTCTTAAGGATGCTGCTTAGACTGAACCACAGGTGTCATTTATTTTTTTTTTTTTGTACTGGACTTGGTCCTGGATCTTTGAGAGTTGAAGGCTGACACCTTAACTCCTTTATCCATCTGATCATTACAGATGTCACATTAAAAATTCTTTTATTTTGCTATTTTACAATTATATAAATATATTTTAATTGTTACAGTTGTCCCAGTAAAACTTTGTTATGAAATTCTATTGTCTTTCTTAGACTAATAGAATATATATTCCAATAGAATGTTTTGCTAGTGTCTTCTGATTTGATTGTTCCAGTGAAAACCAACAGAATACCAGTAAATTTTTTATGACATAGTAGACATTCCTCAAATGATATCATTTGAGGAATGTCTATTTCCCAACTATTTTTATATAGATAAATTCCCTAGAAAAATAGTTGGGGGATAGAATGGGATAAAAATGGGGGAGAGAGGAGATGGTGGGAGCATAAAGTAAGAGACAATACTTGAAGTAGATCTATACAGGACATGACTAACCATTAGAATAGCGAGGCCGAGACTGAAGTTTTAAATGCGAAAATGTGTATGTTGGACATTCAGTGCCACTTTCCTGTAAACCTAGAAGTTTGACAATGGTGTTTGGATAGTCAGTGGAATCATGTTCGACATTCCAAACACCATTGTCGAACTTCTAGGCTTACAGGAATGCAGTTCTGAATGTCCGATGCACACGTTTTCACATTTAAAACTTCGGCCTCAATTTCGCTAATGTATAAAAAGGTAATATCAAGGTTGCAAGCAACCCCAAAAGTTTTTCAATAATGATCTATCTAGTATATGTTGAACCAGCTATTAGCCACCTTCATTATGAACCAATAATGGGTATGTTAATCATACCCATTATTGGTTCACAATGGGGCCCTCTTAGTATTCTCAGGGAAGAAAAAATATATTTGTCATATTGTATGCTGTTAATTTAAACTTATGATTATTTTTCCTTGTTATTGATTCCTTGTATATATTCCATTCTAAAACTTCATGTTCATATAATTAAAACTTAATTTAAAGCAGTATCCTCAGACCAATGTTGTAATATACCCTCTTGACAAATTCCTAGTTAATTAATTGCTGTAGGTGGAAAATCATATGTAAAATAATTTGTTAAATACTTCATATATTTTATTTCCATGTAAATGATATTTATCTAAAAGTTTTAATATTTAAAATAATAACAAATTAAATAAGTTATCTAACTTATTTAATTTGGAGACTGCTTTTAATAGCAAAATTTCTAGAATTCAAAAATTAGTATAGTTCAGTTATAATTTTAAGAAAATATAAAAGAGAATAACTGAAAAAACAGCTGATATTCTATTCATTTATCCTAAAGACTGTACCTAAAAATGATCTTTAAAATGTGGTCAAAAATATTAATTTTATGAAGATGAATCCTGCTAGATTCTTATGATTGTGTTGTTTTTCAGTGTGTTCCAGTTTTGATTTATTTGAATTTTGTTGTGTACAGAATTGGTTATTTTCATACAAGATAAACGACTTCCAACAACTTAACACTGCGTTGAATAATAACAATCCACAAATGGGAACGCGAGATGCACGGTCATCCGCTTCAAACGGCATCTTGACCCCCTATATAGGGAGATCGCTAGCAACAGCCGCACCAAAATCGCGTACTTAAGAACCGGCACGCTTTACGACTTGCTGCGCAACGCGAAGGACGCAATAGATCTCACCAGGGCCCCAGGTGTTTACTCCATTCCCATACGGGACGACAGATTCAATAGGGACTTAGTTCACATTGGCTCCACCATCCGGTCAACACAGAAACGAATACGTGAACACCAAGCTGATATTAAGTATAAAAGACACACCACTGCCTTATCGACCTATGTCACCGACCCTGAAATAAGGGCGGACTTCCGGAACACCAAACTTATCAGACACACGTTCCGCACAGACCACATACATCACCTGGAGGCCTGGGAGATTCACAAAGCTATCATGGGGGGCAACTGCATCAACTACAGGGATGGGGAAACACTTGCACAGGCGTGGAAGTATTTATTCAAGGAGTTCGAGCAAGGGCGGTTAGAGGGGTGAAACCCAACGTGCACATTTATTTATTTACATCGTTGGCAACATCGTTACGACGGTCGGGTCGAAACACGGCCAGTCACCACCTGAAGCAGACCTCGGTGGAGGTCGAAAGTACTTGTGGAATTTAATTGTGACATAACACGCGTAAAAAAAGGTTTTTTCGTGGATTGTTATTATTTTCATACATATATAGATTACTGGTAATTCACTATATAAATATCTATACATATTAAAAATAACTTCAAAAACAATGTTATCTATTTTAATCAAGTTTTTGTTATTAAAAACAATAATGAATTATTTGTATGTATTTATATGCGAAATTATACCCCGACTTACGCGGTTATCCCTCGGTCCCACCTATTGCATAAGTTTGGGGTATTACTGTACTATTTAAATTAACAGACACAAAAGAACAATAAGATTGACCAGCTATATATAAAATATTGAACAGGATTTGATATGTCTATATTTGATCTATCTGACAGCTTCTTTTATACTCTCATCATTTATATATAACTTTTCATTTAAAACAATTAAATAAGAAATTTCATATTTTACTGTAAATATCATTTTCATTGTTTACATTGATGGAATAAAAAACAAAAACTTTTGTTGCAAATTAAATCGGCCTATATAAAATTTCAATTTTAAATCAAGTTCATTTTGTAAGGAACCAAGTCCGAGCGTTATTTTTAGTTATTTTTTTTTTGCTTTTTATTCTATTTTTGTTTGGGGCTTATGTTTTGTTAGGATGAAGGTTTCCTCACCACTCACCTACAATTGAGTGGTGAGGAAACCTTTAAAATGGAATGTTCTTCTAATCAATTTAAAGTAGATTTAAAACTTTTCTCTTCAAGATAAGCTTCATGTTTAAAAATATTTATGTATTTCTTTGTTACTCTAAATTACAGATATTTGGATTAAAAAGCAGATTATTCATTTATTTCAGGTAATTCAACATTTTCTACTCATATAATTTCTATTACAACACTATTTAAAAAATGAAATAAAATTACCTTTCCATCCAGGTCTTTCACTTTAACATCATATAACATTTTTTCTGATCCTTTTTCTACAGAAATAACAAAGCTAAGCTGCTCTACTTTTATTTGACTTGTTATTAACTGTAAATATTATTTAATATATTAAAAACTGAAACTAAGTACCAAAAATGATCAAAGAACATATCTAATTATATATAAATACATTATAAAAATACCTATCTTAATAATTATGTATAAAAAATATCTTAGTTTATATTGGCCAAATGTCCTTGCTCATTGAAAACTATTGATTTAATATCAAATTATAACTGCATAAATAAATAAATATATAAATATATATATATATTATATAACTTTTTTCTTTATAAACCACTTTTTATATATTACAGTAAAGAGATATTTGTTCCCTAAACTCCTAGAGGGTCGGGTATTGATAAATAGAGATGGGTCTACAGATGCAATAAGCATTTTCTTTTCAGATCTGATTATCCATTTTGGAAATATTAGGATCCAAACTTTCTGAAATTTCTCTATGATTTTGTACAGAGAGTCAATAATCTTTTGCATCATTGGGATTTTGTAACAATTCAATATCAAGTTCACTGAATTGTTAGCCAAATTGAATTGTCCTTAGCCAGAAAAAGTTTAGTTACATTGGATTTACTATGTTAAATGTGATATACAGAGAAATTTTGTAATTCATTTTTGTAGTTGTGTTGGGAGCACAAATACATTTCACATAGTCCAGATTACAAGTAATTTTGATAGACAGTAAATTTCAATTTTTAATTCTAAATTCAATTTTTCTATTTGATAGCTTATTTCACAGATTGAGCAGATTTTTTGTTATTGTAGTAATAATACTTCTTAAACTTCGTTTATTTTTCCACTTAAGTCAATACAATGAATCAAATCAATAGTGGTATTTCAGTGAGTTGCATCTCGATGTTCAACTATTTTAGAAACAACAACTCAGTTTTAGCACGCTGTTCTCATAGATTGAAACTTTGTATTAATAAGCTTGAAAACAGGTTCCTGTAAACTTTTAAATCTTGCTTTATTTTATGAAATGACAATCATTGAGTTTTTGCTCATGAATAAAATATTACATTTAACCCTTCTTATACAGTAGAGCGTCGTTTATCCGAAAGAATTCCGGTCGCAAATTTAAAATTTTGCTAGTGCTGTGGCGCTGCAATCTTTGGCTGTATCTTGGGCTACTCCAATATTGTTTTTGTTGATGTGTGTGTTTTAGCTGGCACTTTTGTGTGGTGTTTTTTGAGGACTGTGTGTCGTGCTGAATCGAACGTTTTTGATACTAGATTAACTTCTAAAGTATGATTTTTTTTTGTTTTTATATTTTTCAATATATTTATTTTGTTTATAAAAAATAAAAAAATAATTTTTAACAATACAATAGCCACAATTATTATTTAAAAAAGTTTACATTAGGCTTAACATCGACGAAAATTCAACGCAAAGCAACACGCAACGGAGAAAAATTTCAACACGGGATAGGTTAATTATTTTTCATACGTAATCAGTTATCTGAACAACCCCAGTCCCCAATTGATTCAGATAAATTGCGCTCTACTGTATTTTCAAACATTTATAAATTTCATATTTATTTGTTTATTTATTTACTCATCCACAAATATGTATGAATTTTTCATTTAGTCTAAATTATGAATTTAAAAACAGCAACACAAACTGAACATTTACTATTTATTATCAAGAGTCATGAGTTTTGATGTATCAAATGGATTGTTTATTATACTCATTGGTTGAGTTTCAATTCAATGTGTGGAATGTGTGGGTGTGTGTGGTTTCATCTATTAGTAATGCATCAAAACAGAGAGTTAACTCCCTTTAGGTGGCATGCACATATTGAAATGACAGATTTTGCTTTATTTTTTACTCTCACACCACCTTCAGAATACAATTCATCATCCCCCTCACCATTTGCACAATCATATGTACAATAAATGTTAATTAACAACAAAATATTCCAAAATAAATGAATTATTTTGTATGTGGAAACACTTTAGATAACCTTACTCTCCGTGTCAGCATTCATCAACACTATCCTGACATATTGATATCCCCATATTGATATAGCAATAAATGCACGCTGCCTTACTGAAGTGATTTGAATGTTTCAAAACACTTGAATCATATTGCAGTATGATTCAAGTGTTTTGAAACATGGTTCAAGTGTATTTTGACTACTATGACAAAAACTTGGTCACAATAGAGCCAGAATAAAAACTATTCTTTTATTTAATGTAACACATTAAAATGTTAGTGTATTTTAAATAACCTTTTAATAACAATTTATCTTCAATTAAAAACAAGAAATTCATCATATTTTATTTTTCAATTATAAGCATTGGCCTATATTAAAAATGTCTATTTACCCAGAAATAAGTAACCTACTACAATAAATGAATTTTGATTACAATAACATTTTGCAAGTATATTTTAACTTGCATATTTGAGACCTCCTAATTTTGATAGCATTAAACAGATAATAATATCCATGATAACAGTAAGCAGAGTTTATTATACTGTACTTGATATTTATATTATTTCAACTTTACAATAATTTTATCTAAATTTTAATTTAAAAAGTTTTCAAACATTTAAATTAATCTTTATAATAAAATCGTTAAACAAAAATTAATCAATTCTAAAATATTCAGTTATCCAGTATCTTATTTTAAAATCTAAATGTATAAGCCTTTGTTCAAAGAGCCAATTTTTTTATTATGACTAAATTAATCATAAATATCCATATCATATATCTTCAATTACAATCATTTCATACATTTTCCTTTTCAAAACAGGTTTTATTTTAAATTTAATTGTTTAAATGAACACTCCAAAAATTTTAATATATGTCATATAATCACAAAACCTTGACATAAAATAACTGCTATTTCATAACATAAAAATATGTAGAAATATTCAGAAATAATATGTTTAATTAATAACTTTTTTACCATTTAACTTCATTATACATAATAAAAATATAAAATATAATTAACTCAACATTAATATTCCTGGCATTAGAACTTTATTATTATAATTTAAAAAAATTATAAAATTTAATCATGCTATGGTCTCTATTAGTATATTTGTTCAAGGTCAATAATAAAGAATTAATAAGTAATTGGAAACTGATAAGAACTATCATTATTTTTAGTTGCAGGAATGATGCAAGTTTATTTGATTTCAGTAGACTACAATACATTGTGTGTTATAAAAATATCAGTCTTTGAATATGATTTAAAAAAATAAACAATTTTCTAAATTTATTAAAAGTTAAACATCTAACTTAAATTTTTCCCTTATAAATTTTCAAATATAATGATATATGATTTAATTTCGACCTTAATTTTTTAATAAGAAGTCATTATTCAAAAAAGACAAGATTTTTTTAAGAAATACAAAGTGTAAAGAGAAAGTAAAATTTAATGTATTATTATTATTATTATTATTATAAAAAATATATTGGTTTGACACTATTACGCAACGTCAAGGAAATAGGAAATTTAAAGTATATATTTTTTAATCGGAAAATTTTTAATCGTTTACACACACGATAATGTAAACGTATTTAATATAATGGCATAATATAATAAACCTCCGGCAGAATTTTTAATAAAACATGAACATTTAATATTAATTAATAATAAAAATATAAAAATATTTTAATCTAGAATATACTCGAAATGTTAAAAAAAATTAATTTGTTCACAGAAGTGAAAATCATTTTAAAACAAGCTATAATTCATAATAAGTTCGATAACTATAATTTAATTTGCGAAACAACATTATAAACAATTGACAAAAAATAATGGAAAAAGAAAAAACAAAACGTTTCCGGCAACATTTAAAATTTTAGTGGCGCCATCTGTTATCATATTTCATTAAAACACTTGTTATATTTTTCACTATTATAAAACGGCAAAATTTTGAGAGTAGTGAAAGGTTTTTATTAAAAATTGTAAATTCTAATAACGAGTAAAATCCTCATTAAGTCCGACCCTACTGGAGACACACACGACCCCGATTATCTCTCCATCCCCTTGACCTTTAACCACCAAAATTTAATAGCATCAATTCCCCTAACAAACAAATTTCCCTGCAAAATTTAAGAAATTTTCGACATAAAGAACAGGAGTTATTTATCCTCAAACAGGGTGAACAAAATCGTGTCCCCCACACACATCAATACATACAGAAATTATCCCCGAATTTTTTGCAGTTCTCGACGTTCAAAGTGTCCTAGGTCCAAAAATGTGGGGGGGTCATTTTTTGCCAGATAGCTATACTTTCTCTCTGTATAACAGCCGCCAAAGTAAAAATGTTGTTGTTAAAACCATTTATACAAATATAGCATATCGGACCGTCCGCAATACAATCGTCCTGCACGAGTTAATTAATAAAAGGTACTTATAATTATTCAAATATTTTTAATTTTTCAGTTAGTCCCCCTTTGGGTACTTTCTGGATCCACTACTGATCAAAAAAGATATTTAGAATTCATTTACTAATCTCACACTTTTCGATGAAAAATATTTTATTGCCAATTTGATAAAAAAAATATTTTAATATTTTGCTCAAAAGATTATAAGAAAATTTAATATATTTCTGTGCTTTATTTGACAAATATCGGATTTTCTAAATAAGTTATATAATTAAATCGATTTTCGATCTATTATAAATAAAATATTACTAAGAAAATAACGAATACCATCAGCAACTGACAATAAAATATAGTCTTATTAAATTAGTGAACTTCGTTGTTTTTAACAGTAGAATTATTTTTAGCATGTTCGCGGTATTTCGAATTTATTAAACCACTTTATAAGTATCATAGTAAAATATTTTATCAAAAAATTTACACACAATTTTATCATCGACTTCAGTCACAAATTTACCACTATAATTTACCACTATACTAAATAATATATTTATATATTAAATATATATTCAATTGTTTGGGTATGTGAAAGAAAATCAATCGCGAGGTTAAAAAAAGTTACCCTTTTACTAGCTCCGGAACTAAAACCATTTTCCTGTCCGGCTGATATAAATACATTACAAATTCACGT